CACACTGAACAGGTAAATGCCCTTGTACCACACTAGGCAGGTGCATTACCTAATATTACTTATAATACTGGACAAATACGAACATAAGAAGTTAGAGACAGAAGCCCTATGTCAGAAATTTGAACTCGCAGTCGAGGCTGACAATCCAAAGTAATGGTGGAGGTATGCTGTCACTGCCTTGTTCGAGGTGCCGTCCTTCAAATGAGAATTTAAACCTAGGTCTCATCTGCTTGTTCAGTGGGCATAAAAGACATAAAATATCCCTTGGCTCTATTCAAATAGATATACAAAAATGCTATCCCTATACTTTACAATGAATCCTGTGAAATGCTTTGAGATGTCGTCCTAAAGTAACCACAAAACTCAGAAGTCAACTATAATGCCTCAATACAGACCTGGAATTGAACCTGTGACCTTCTGGTCTGCATGGCACAGTTGTCCACTGCACAATTGCCTTTACCTAATAAGTCATTATGGAAGCTTTTAAATACAATTTTATAATACTTGCATTAGATCTTAATCTCTTTTACTGTCTCACATCACCAGTAATGTTTGACTTTAAAGGAAAACCTCACCTTATGTTCGTGGTTTGAAAGGATTGCAGTTTGTGTCCAATAATTACAGAAATTATACAGCGACAAAGAGAATTTTGAAGTCCCAACCACAGCCCATACACTGTAAACGAATGAAGTAAAATGGTCATGTGGATAATGGGCACATTTATAAATTGCTAAACATGTTGAGGACCGCAATTTTTTATATATAAACACATTATATATAATAGGAAACAGTTATAATTATTTGCATTTATAAACACTTTAAAATAAGGCATTAGATGTTACATATTTCAGAGTAGGCGGTCACTGATTATTAAACTAATATGATAATTGCAAATTGTATTACTGTTAATTGCATGTTAATTGGTCCAGTGGACAGATGTTATTTGACAGATAGTGTTTTTGCACAGACTCTTGCAATTACAAATGAAAACTGTTATTGCTGGTCCAGAGCATGCAACAGGAACTTCCTGTTCCCAGTTAAATGACCACATATTGCAGGAAATGCTACAGCTTTGACTCAGTTGTTCAAAAATCTTGGAGATCTGTGTACAATTATTTATAATAGCATTGCTCAGTTGGATACAAAGAAAATCTGACAATAATAATAAATGGACTTTCAGATCTCAAAAATTACCATTGAAGTGGAGTTTTTCTTTAAAGTTATTGACTTCCTGTTGATCCTTGGAACTATTTTTGATAGCAAAATAGGATTCTATGAAATGATTAGGTGGATGCAGATTTATTGTGGATGTATGATCATCAGTGCATAACACAGTACATGATAAGGTAAGATTCTGGCTATTTTACCTCAGAGGTCCAGCACCATAAATATATACTAGTCAAGTTCCTTAATGCCTTAATGTTTGCATTCGAAGGAAAACTACTTGTCTTTCACATTTATTGCATGAGGAAATAATTTTCCTTGCAATGGGGGGTCCCAATTTAACTGAGACGTTCACTTCTCTTCCAAATCCACAACAATTCTGAACTGATATTTGGCTGTGTATTAATTCTATATTTTTTTTGTTGTCACATCAACATTATTACCAGTGTAATTTATGTTCCCTGGTAGCATTATGGAACACTTGGATTTGTTGCTGATACAAGCATTTCAAAAAAAGCGGTACGGTTTCACAACATTGTTAACTATTTCCATAGTTCTGGATATCATGTGTTTGGATGTAAGTAATAATAATAATAATCCTTGCATTTGATATAGCACTTTTCACATCATCTAGATGTCTCAAAGTACTTCAGAATATACTGTAAAATGAATTGACTGGATGTTTGTGGGTGAAACGTGGCAGCCAATTGTGCCAATTGTCCCACAAACAGCTGTGGATTGAGTGACCAAATTATTATTGGGTTTTTTTCTTGAGGAATTATTATCAGGCATGTGGGGCAAGGAAACTTGCCCAAGGTTTCACTCTTTTGGGAATCAAAGCCAAGTCTCTTGCTTGCGAGGCGAGTGCTCTAACCACTGAGCTACAGGACTCCAAAAGTGTTTAAGGTTTTCATTCATTAATCCTGTTCGATTGATTTTTTTTCCAAAGTTGATATCTTATTGCTGTTGGATCTTATGTTGAGTAAAGAGTGTCATCCTGGCTCAGTTGGTAGCATTCTCGCCTCTGAGTCAGCAGAATGTTGGTTTAGGCACCACTTTGGGAGTTTGAACTCACGAAGTCTAGGCTGACAATCCAATGCAGAGATGGGGTGCACTGTAAATATTAAACCGAGATCCTGTCTGCCTGAACCTTTGAACTATCTTTCTTCTCTATGCTCGATTTTAAAAGTCTTATGTTATATCAAATTAACCCAAGTCCTCAAAAGTTTGTGTGTGCCTGTGGGTGATCAGGATTCTTGATCAGGATTAATGATAGGCATTGGAAGTACACATGTGGATTCCAGCTGGAAGCAGGATCGGGTTAGGCTGTAACAACTCGCGTGGCCAGATAGATTGAAGATTTCCTACTAATTTTCTGGACACGCACAAGAAGAATGCGATATAGGCAAGTTACTGCAGGCATGCCTTACTGAGCTTAGATTACTACCTTAAGGAAGGGTAACAGAAGAAAATAGGAAAATATAAAGAAATCTCTGAAATCCAGTAGTTACGGAAGCAGAATTTCTCAATTTGTAGTTTGATGAAACTTAGTTAGTAACACAGTTGACAGCATTCTGCACTAACTGTTTACTCCCAAAGCCAATAAGGTCTATTACTGTCTCCGTAAGGAACTTTAAAAAGACAACGGATAGTTATTGTTATTAAAAGGGACAGGTAATAGCAAGCATTAGATGGATTACATTATAACACACGTTATACTGTAGCCATAGTCTTTTCACTTTTCAAAATTTGTACAAGAAAGGCCTCAAGTTATGTGAATCTATTTGCACTAATCTTTACTGTATTTGGATCAAAATATTAGGTTCATATTCAGATGCAAAAATAATAATTTCAGATTAGACTTTTTAAATATGCTTTTATTAATATCTGCCATTCAAATTATTTTGTTGTAGGTATATTCATATTACATTTCTGTCCCATATTCCTTCTATATTTGTACACATTAAAAACTGCAGTGAATTTGCATACAACTTACAGCATTAAAAATATTACGAAACACAGCCTACTTTCCCAAACAATACAAGTCTGTTCTGTAAAGAAAAAATATACTTGAAACTTGCAAAAGCCTATAATAAAGATAAAGTGTAATGAATAGTATGTGAATACTGGCATTTTTGTGTTCTTCTACTGTATTTCTGTGGTAAGGGCATTTTGTGTCACAGTTCTTCATTTGAATAGATGGGGTAGGTGGAACTAAGGCTTCTCCACAACCGTGTTATTCATGCCTACTCTGTGTTTCAGTAACAGAAGGTCTGAGTGCTGCAAAGTCACAAAGAACTTTATCAGGTTTCTCTCACTCAAGAAAGATCAAAATGAGCATGGTTGGAGGATTTAGGTATCACAGGAATACAAAGTGAGCATCTTAATTGCTAGTTGACCAGTGTGGGTCTATCTAACAACAATTGCAAATTGTAGGAATCAAATTAAGACACGTTTCCTATTGTTTATTTTAAGTCTGTTAATATTTAAATATAATGAATGGTTCTTTCCATAAGCAGTTGAATTGAAATTTGGAGAAAACCTCAAATAAGTTAAAACTCAGTCTACATGCTAAACTGTACAGTTGTACAGTGTGCATGGTCTTTTTAAGTTCACAGATGTCTGCATTTAGATATTCCAAAATACTGTAATTTGATTCTACATTACTGCTTTAACAGTTTTTTATACCAATTAAAATAAGTCTAACGGGACAAACCTCTAATAAACCTTCATCACTAAAATGTAAGGCTTACAGATGGTTATACTGTAGTCATAGACCATTCCAATGGTCTCACTTCGTACATCAACAAATTAATATTGCATGCATAATATTTCAAAGCCTCACAAAGACAGTAAACCATTATTGAAGCCACTGTAGCAGATGGTTCAAACTGTATGCAGAAGCCCATTCTTGCTTTTATGCATTATACCTACTTTGCTGTTGAACTGTAATGAATTGTTTCATAATCGATTCCATCTTCTTTCCATTAGCAGACTTTCAGTGTTCTCAAATCTGTGGAGAGAACTCATTTTCCAGAGTTTTAATCATTCAAAAATGGAATGCTTAATTCGTTAAATGAAATGGACCTTGATCACTGAAGCAAAAATTCAATATATCATGCCAAATTAGGTAGATTTTAATAAATTACATCCCTCCCTCAATATTTAAATATGCTTATGAGAAAGAGCAGACCGTTTGCAAATGCAGAAAAGGAATGTCTCGCAAGCTACTCCTTTGTAAAGAAACCCCTCACATTCTTGAATTACTCATTCTACTGAATCTTACATTTTAATACAACCCCCACCCCCCCACCCCCACCTGGGCAGGCTATCAATTTGTCTATATAAAGTCTTTTTTCTGTTAATAATTTGCAATCAGCAGTAATATTTGAGGATCACCGGTTATTTAGAGCAAAGGTATGCCTTGTGATTATTTTAATTTCTGAATTTAGCTGACCTTTGTTATATATTTTCTTGTTGAATCCATAAACGAGCATGATTCATTAAACAGATCCTAAATCGTTCCAAGTAAAAGGCATATAGGTGCCTACAACTACTCTCTATATTTAATTTTTAAGATTTGCACGCATCAAAGGAAAAACGAACTGAGATTTAATGTGCATAAAATAGGCATTAGCATTTTAAAGAGGCAGATTAACACATTAATCCAGGCTTTGGTATGCAATTTTCATACTCTGCTTCCATTAAAAACTTCACAGTATGAACTCTTAATGAAGCTAATCACAGGATTTTTTTTTACTTAGTTAAGTGATAATGGCAACATAAAAACTTTATTTCTGATTATTATTCAGAAGCTTATCACTGAAGGGTGTGCTGGAAAATACTTTATTAAAAATTAAATATCCATCTTGCATACATATTACATATGTAGAAAAAAGTTCAAAAAATGCAAATGGAGCAAGATCATTCAATCACACAATTATGAATTATTAACACGGTGAACGGGTGAGTGTTGAAATGCATTAGAAGAAAGCTGACATACAAACTCCTCGGAATTACTGCGACGTACGGAAATAAAGAAAATCAAATAGTTTTTGTCAATCTTATTTAGAAATGAAATGAAATAGATGTGGCAGCAAACAAACTTGCCACACACAACTCATTCTTTAATTTTTTTTTACCAAAAAACAGAATTAAACAAATTTCTGATCCCGTAGGATTCTGGGCGCTTTTACAGTTGTCTTCCGTTCTCCTTGGAGATGTTACGCAGAACCTCCAAAGCCTCCACTGTCACTTTCACTTTCCCAATCACCTCTGTGCCACCCTGGGGATAGACAACTGCAAAGAAATTAGAATGTCATGTTCTAAACGATTAATTGCATGGGGTGTTCATAACAACATGACTTTGTACTTTGTCTAACAAGTTGGGCTGGTTTAAAACAACATAATTTCACTTAATTTAACATTAAACACTTAACATTAAACACAATTTCATTATCCACAGATTTCTTTTTAATATACTATAAAACTGGCCTTCGTAATTTTGATTTAATCCAAAGATTCTATAAACACAACATAGATTTGAAAGGCAATTGGTTTAATTTTGGTGCGGATTACGATTCAGGACATCTAGTTACAGGAATTGATCACTTCGCTACTTTTTCCAAACTTGATGGAAATACAAGATGCTCTAGGTCTTCTGCAGAAAGGTCAAGTGGAGCGTAAAGCTTCCTCTATGTCGATTATCCCAGCTCTATAATTTACATCCATCTTGGAATAGCATTCCTACTGAATAACCATAAGTAAGAAACTGCTTGCCCAGTCTCACCAACACACGCGTCTCTCAAATTAAACAATACTTATAGAAGACAGTCAAGACAAATATAACTGCCAGCATGCAAGGCACTGTATTGTGCATCAATTAAGTCACTTGCTTTGACCCAAATTCCACGAAAGAAGAGGTCAACACAGATCCCCACAACTTTTGAAAAGAAATTATGTGATTTCAGCAAACACGTTAATATTCTTACAAATCACTACTTATCTCTACGATTAATTCTCTAATTGTAACACCTCTTATCCCTCTTGGGAAGGATCACTTTCTGACTATTGAACATCACACAAGAATAACTTTCACTTTTCTCAATGGCACACAGAGAGCTGTGGTGTCTCTGTTTATCCCCATTAACAGGACTAGGATGTTTTCATATGATCAATAGAAGCAGAAAGTCACCAATTCTAACTGGCAGCAATTTAGAATATTCCTAAATGGATGAAAAAGGCTCCCCAGCTAGGTCTTTAGCAGTGTGGTAGCAACACAGTGCAATTTCAAAGATAAATAAATAGGGTATACAGAGTAGGGTATATCTCAGCAATGTTGGATTCTTTTCAGAGCTCTCCATCCTCTATATTCCAGTTTCCAGATGACAGAAAGTTACCTAACCCTAGATTTCCACCAATGGCATTCAGCAGTTTGCTGCAGAGATTCACAAGATCTGCTGCGGGTGGGGCAGGCAAGACTCAAGTCTAAGTGTTCCCACTCTCCCAGTGTGTGGGCTGTTCCAGTAGGCCATCAATTGACCAGTAGTTTTCATGAGGAAATTAATGTTATAGTGAAACAGAAAAAGGAACCACAGAACTTTAGGTATAATTCAATTTAACTTGACTTTAGGGATTCAAGTTAGTGATTATGGCAGTTTGGCACATAGAATGGAAGAACATACATAATATTTTCTTTTTCTGGACATCACTGGCTTGGCATTTCCAAGTGTAGGGGTTTAAATTCAACATATAAATATTTGGAATGTTGTAAGTGCTTGAAAGTGGGTCTGGTAATCTCACCCTATCTTGAATCCTAATTACAGAAAAGTGACAGCAGCTCAATCAGGATAATGTCTTACTCCACAGGAACTCCTTGAGAAACATACTGCCAAATTATCTTACATGGATCAAGAGTGGGATTGTGGATCCTCCAGAACTGATGCTGGGCTCACATTCATTTCAGAACTAATGGTCCTTCCTCTATAAGCAGCGGGCTCACCCTCCCATGTTTCGCCTGCCTGTGGGAAAGGACTTGGCACTTTCCCCTGTTAGAATGCCAAATATGATGTTTAATACTAATACTTGTGGAGTGGGGAATCACTATGTTGAACTTACTGCTCTGTGGATGAATTTTTGCTACAAAAAGGCATTGTGCCATCTTAGAGGAACTGCGATGTACCATAGGCTGATCAGCTAAGATAGCAATTTTTTAAAAAAATCAATTGAATAGCTTCACAAAGAAATAGGTTTACTTGACAGACACTGCAGCTTCTTGACAATAGCTACGGATATTTATAATCACTTCTATTGCTAGGAAAATAAGTGTCACAATTATCTATTCTACTTTTTAAGGATCAGCACAGAGAGCAATAACCTTTATCAAACAGAAGTCTCAACACATTGCAATGTATTCATTATAAGATCAATTTCATGAATAACAATTAAATCCTCTTTTTTCTGCAGGTTTAGAGACACGTTTATATGAAGTTTGGAAACCAATCCATTTGACAATCAGAATCGCCAAAATAAGGAGAAACTGAAGACAAGTGAATTAGACAATAACCAGAAGACAACCGAAGAAAGAAAGAGCAAGTGTTATAATAAAAATAATCCTTGCACTTGATATAGCGCCTTATCACGTCTTCAAGACGTCTCAAAGCACTTCACATAATATACTATAAAGTGAATTGACTGTGTATTTTGCAGGCGAAACGTTATGTTTAACCTTTGAACAGTTGATTACTGCAAATGGAGTCTAGATGGTCACATCGGTGTAGTTCAATAAAAGCATATACCAGCCTCAACTAGTTTCATCAGTTTAGTGCTTAAAACATTTCAGATACTCATCGTCTTTGGTTAAGCTGCTCTGTGGGGCACCACCCTCAGGGAACAAACACTTTCTGTTTCTCTCTTTGAACTCGTCTGATGCTAACTCAACTGTCTAGCATCAGAGCTATTGCGAATCCATGCCTTCCTAGCATTAAAAAGGCTAAGACAAAGGTACAACATTGTGGTTCACCAAATACCAGGATTCTGAGTGGATACAACAGGATTAGCATATGCAGTAGTTTCAGCAAGATGTATCCTTTTGGGAATTTTTTTAGTGTAAGCAGACGTTCCCTTTTTTCTTAAAGGTGCAGCCCTAATTCAAGGATTCAAAGTGTCTTCTTCATAAAACAATGTTTTAGAATTCAGAAGTTTGGGGCAGAATAGTTAAAGCAACCTAAAGCAACCAAAAAAAAAAGAAAACTACTGTCGTGAGTCAACGGTTGTTGAACATTTCTGTGAATCTGAAAGTGTGAATATTTTAGTCATCTTTCCAAATTCATAGATTTGACATAAACATCACGCACAAAATGTTCCCTGCAAGTAGAACCTTGTTCAAGATTGAAACTCACTGTAACATTGTTGAAAAGAAGTGCTGCTCATTACTAAATCATTTTATTTTTGTCTAAGCTGTGCTTTTTGGTCTTTTGCCATTTGTGAGCCATACAGAAATGAAAATACATTTCAGTTTCTTTTTTAAAAAATTCTATGACTTCAGCTTTTCACACAGTTAATGCAAAAACACAGAAATGCACTTAGAAGATATGTGGCTATTTCTGAACGCATGCTGAATAAACAGTACTTAAAACATACGAAAGAAAGGCTCATTTTTATTAAATGAGCTCAGCTACAGATAAGCTGCTGAGGAGACAGCTTTCCAAACTACAGAAATCACTTGTGGAAATCCCTGCATTTTTTGTCCTGATGTACCAAAAGTTTGTGAAGTGCAATCCCACTGGGTATGACTCTTCAATACAACTGGAACTTGTTGAGTGTTTTTCCCCGATTGTCAATAGACACCAATGCTTTGGCTTAACGAGTTGAAAACTTCTTTTCCCAAATAACTCTAAATGCAAATTTGTTTGATGTTCCACACAAGCTTCATCAGATCCAAAGATCTGATTATTTTTGAAGTTTCATATACTGGTCAGGACTGGTTTTCTTAGGGCCACTTTTATTACATCATTCACCGTGTGATATAAAACAATTTTCACCACTCCTGGTAACTCCTTCCACAGAGCAATGTCTTCAGTGATTTATGTCAAGCAGCAATAAAATAAAAGGTTGCTGAGATCACAAAGATAAGACTATTACCTTTCAGTGTGCTCAGTGCATTGATTGACTGACAAGTAATACTTGTTGATGTTGACGTAAATGTCAGTAGCACATGAGTATAATAAAACATACACTGTCTGTAATTTTCTAGTGGCAGTGTTAGAATCTTTGCCTTCGGGGTTCAAAGCAGAGGCCTTGCATGTACTGTGGCCTCATTCTTTTGCTTTGCCAATTACAAACACTATTCTTTGTATTCTTTAGCAAAAAGTGATTGTTATTTAAAATATGTTTTTCTATAAAATGCTATTTTTACACTTTCCTAAAATGTAGCACAGAAGCTGGTAGCTCCCCCATTCGAGCTATCAACTCAAACGCCAACACCTGCTCTTTCCCCACACCGTACAATCATATTTTTTTTCCCCCTTCAATGTCTTTATCCATTTAAATGTTAAATATTTTTATGAACTCAGCTTCAACAACCTGACAGTTTTATTGTGTAAAACAAATTCTCAAGGTTGATACTGCCTGGAAAAACTACTTCACCATCATGAGTGCATTGCGATCAGACAGAAACCTTTGAGCAAATGCAAAACCTCACTGTGGAAATACAATTTCTGATGGTCACAGGTTCCAGAAGATAGATATTTGAAACTAAAACTGGTCAGACAGGTGATCAACAGTTAGGTACAAATCTCGACTTTTGATCCATATAGTCCAAAAATCAGCAACCAGACTTATATAAGGAATATCAAAGATACAAGGAATAATGATAAATCTCTCAGAAAAACTACCACAGCACATAAGTGAGAAACTTCATTTTATTATAACCTTGTAACGGTTCCAATTGTTTTAGATTCACTAAATGCACAACTTGGGATTTTTACTGTCAGCATGAGCAAGATCACTGGTTTACAATTTTCATTTCATATGTGTTGGATTCTAGTGGGGTAAAAGTGTTTACATCATATGACAGCAAAGAATATAGGTCTGTATTCGTGATGAACACACTTATGATCAGAGAAAACAACAGGAATATTTTCTGCTGCACATCACCAGGGACTACGCTATTATACATTATCTAGTTTATCTTTTGGATTTGTGATGCATTCCCACCTCCAAAATACAGTATTTAAAGCATTGTTTGGTTTTATTCTCATCTTTGTAGTGCTGGCTGAAATCTCTTTTGCTGGATCTCCTCCACTACCACTATTATTCCGTCACACTCCATTGAGCAGGGATAGTGCTGAGGAAGTCTTACTGAGATCTAAGCCATGTTATACTGCCTGAGCACATCTATTTTTTAAGTACGATTTCAATATTTATCAAGACAATGAAGACATCAGGAAACAGTGCTATCAAGTCCAAAGTGACTGCATTATCTTCAATACACAATGCAAGTGTAAAACAAGAATTGGTGGTAATTGATACAGAAACAAATCATCGAATCTTTTGCTCTTCAGCTCATAACAATTCTTCTGAACATCAGCATACTTACTGTCAATGTCCTTTTCAATCACATCTTCTCCCTTTTGGAATATCTCTCTCAGATTAATGTGTGCAAAGCCAACGTCTTCACACTCGAGCTCCTGTTCATCTTCAGGTGGATCACTGACTATTGTAAATCTTATACTAGTGATAGAAGAAAAAGAAAGCTTCATCAAAAAAAATCTTGGTTTACTTTACAGGGCATGCATTTAACCTTTTTTGCTTAAAAAGTGCTGAACAGATTTCGACATACGTGATTTTAAAGAGAGAAAGGGACCAAAGTTAGTTCCAAAGTGGTTTGAAACAGTAGGTTGTTTAACTATCAACTATTGTCACATGAATCTCTTCATTAATAAGCATTTCCAGGAATTTCTCTCTTAATTTGTGTGAAGTTAGATCCATTGATACCAACTCCCAGTTCTACTATTAGAGATAATTCTTTCCCATATATGTATCATAGCTGGTAAACGAACTTTACTACCTGGTATTAAATGACTAACCGAGTATACATGCACCAATGACTAGGATGCACAAGAGAAAGTACATTATTAGTGCCACCCTCATTAGTTTAAACACAGCAATAGTCCTCTTTTCTGGTAGCCAAGCTTCCTATCAAGTATTGGAAAGAACAAGACAACAAGCAGTTCCAAACAGAGCAGATTGCACCCCTTTGTGTTCCCCTAATCCCATAAAAACAACAAAATTATATTTGTATAGCATCTTTCACGTCAGGAGGACGTCCTAAGACGCTCAAATAGCCTCTGTACCTTCCCCAACTCTCCAGAAATGTGTTTGTTATCAAAGTGGAAGAGCATCTCACAAGATATGGAGATTTAAAATAAATTGACCACAATAATGAACAATATTTTGGCTACATATTTACAATCGCAAATCAGTACGTCATTGTATTTCATGGCTATGTCATACTAAATCAATGCATCCATTAAAACTAACACAACACTTTATTTATCCCCCACAATCTCCATTCATATTGTTATTTTAACCTGACCTCAAAGCTTCTTTGAGTCATCGGGTGAAATAATATTTTGCAGATTCTCACTTTTAAAGTGAGAATGTGGTGTAGCTTTGTCACTCAGAGAAAACATAGATAGAAGGGAATGATTCACTTATCCAGTGTTATTGCAGTTGTAGATGAATATAAATGCATTCACTTAAGCTGTTTAGAAAAAGGAAAAATGAAATGTAGCTCTTGAGAGCTCCCAGACAAAGATGATATAGAGAAGTTTGGGTAGCCCGAAATCTTAAATCTAGAAGAAGGTGGTATGACAGTGGTGCCATTAATATTTACCTTTCGAGGTTTGACTCCAATCCCTGGAGTACTGACTTAAGGAACTGCCTCCTCTGCTGGTTATTTTCTTCATCCACATGGATCACTGTCATGAAAATACACACCCAATCATTTGATGCAATCTGACATCAGTGCTTTTTACATTCCATTTAGAGAAAGACATAAAAGCAGGCCTCAATTTCCTTTCCATGTTTACTCAGCAAGGCAAAGCAAGTTGAAAGGTAAAGTAGTATTAAATCTGAGATCATGTGGTCACATGTCATGCTGGTGGCAGTTTTATATGCACTCTGTCAAAAAATGATACAGCCAATGTTTGACCGTGCCACATAATTGTCATTTTCTGTTAATGGCGCTGGCAGTGTCAATTGGGAAAGCAGGCACCATTTATTGCCATATATTTAAGGGGATTTACTGCATGTTCTTTCACCCATGGCGCTGGTGATAATGATAGTATATGGCAGTGTAGTTGTCCTTACTGACATTGCAAGTAATTTAATCCTCCACATCTGCCACAACTCTGCTCTGAGAGAGGTGCAGCAATATGCACTAACTGAAACCCACAGCATGGCATTTTGTCAGAACTAGGAACTATTCAGTACACCAGTGCTAACCAGTATTGCCACAAACATATGGCAGTGGAACATTTTCCCCCCAGTTGCTACATAAACTGCTTATTTCACATTAAAAGAGCTAAATGTGAAATCGAGCCAAGACATATATTAAATTGAGGGGCTAAGAAACAGAATAAGAGAAAGTATTTTGTAAGGAACATGACTTGAGTCAGGGATTAGCTCAATCTTCTCTGCTAAATATGCTTTTTTGCTATATGCATAAATTTGGGTGTATTATTTTTAAAGAAAGACAGCATTTGTTAACTATCAATCTGAGTGCAACAAGTGGGTTTGGAAAACACAGATTGAGACGATCAATATTATAGACCCAATATCAAATGCAAGGGTTACTATGAATCACATGTTTTGGGTCTTCTCTTCAACATGTCAAATCAAATCACAAAATAGAACACTGGAAAAAGGTGGTGCGGTTCTTTGTATGAGACATTACACCGAGGTCCTGTTCAAGTAGACGTTAAAGATTCTATAGCACTACTTGTAAAGAGAAGGGATTTTCTCTTAGTATCATGTGCAAACAATTCCACTCCCCCCTTCCCCAAGATAACATTGTTTATTAAGCCCATGGCTGTTGGTGGGACAAGGCTGTGCATAAATTGCATATCACTCCTGCATGTCACAACCATGGCTCATCACTTTCTGTGCGCAATGTAACAAAAGATTTGGGAAGAGTGATTTAACAAATATTAATGGCTGGCAAAAGACTTAGGATCTATTATGAGTCAATTCTTAAATCTAGTGCTCATATCTATAAATTGAAATCTAGGCTTACTACAGTTAATTCTCTTCTTAAGATCTCTTTTATTTACGATAACATTTTGTTAAAAAGATGTGCAAAAATCTGTTTCAAACTGATAGTCGCTTTATAATACACTAGCCAGAGTAACATCTAATTAAAATGGTACTTTTCCTTAATATGCAATCTATGGGGAAAAAAATGAGACAGTCTTTATTCCCCATGACAACTTCTCATATGCCATTACCATTGCTGTAATTGTAATGTATCCACTGTCCACTACTTGGCTTTGGAAGAGACAATGGTGTTTCTTCAGCTGGTAAGTTGCAGAATTTGTATTCAACAAACAGCCGTTGAACGGTTTCATCTTTTAGGATTGGAGCATTGTTGTTTATTGTGAGAGAGACAATCTCAATCCGGATCTTTTCTGATGGCTATAATAAAAAAAGGAGAAAATAATAAAGAGAAACTGGGTTACAAAGTTACTGACATTTCAATGTATAGGTGTTCCCATTGTAAAAATGACTCGAGGCATTCTAGTGAAAACTTAATTTTCCACTTACTCACCCATTAGGAGCCTTGAAATGTATATTAAACCATGACTCTTTCTTTTATTATGCATTTTTAGGTATTTTACTGCAAACTTAAATCTGAATATTTCAAGAAGTCTGTTTTATTATTCAGGAGATTCATGGAAATTTTACAAAGATGACAAGAAAATTACGCACTATTCTGTCTCTGCTAATACAGGTACAAGGCTTCATCTGGCAATATTACTAGGATTAGCATGGAATGATGAAATATTTAGTGAGATTTTTTTCTCTAAACCTAATAAGTCAAATGACTGCCAAATGTCATTAAAGTGATGGTCTTTGAGTTGAGTAAGCTTTTCATATTCAAATTAGAAAGCGAGAAATGGTAGTATTGAAAGCTTTAAGAAATAGTTCAAATACTCTGAGCTCAGCTAAGAAAAATGACAATGGTATTGTTTTATTTTAATAACATACTTATACAGGCTAAATCATTTAGCTAGTGTACTGTAAGAAATTCTGCTGGCAGTAATAGGACAAAAGGCAAAACAGAAATGAACATTATTTAATTTTGATAAAATGTATTTTCACAATTAAATGGAATAAATTGCACTTTTGTTTGAAGTTTTTTTTAACCCTTAAAATATTTTACTAAACAAGGCTCAGTACATTTCAATGTTGAAGAATCAAATACGTTTCCACTTTGGGCATCCAGTGTCATCATAAAGCATTTCCAGATTAAGTACAATGCAGTCAGATGCAGAATAACGCTCCACATGCTTTGTCATAACAATGTGCCTTAAACATAGTCTTAGAATCCAGTCACATGGGCAAGGTGGAAGCCATCCTCCTCGGCTTTTGACTGTGACCTCCCCAACCTTCCTGCCCTCTCTCGCAAAGTCAATGAACCAGTTAGCAACCTTGGCGGTCAGTTCAATCCTGGGCAATCCTTCCTTCCTCACACTGCATCACTGACCAAGACAATGGCAGTTCAATGGCTATCTACACAGCTCACTCTTGTACTTGGTTATAGAAACTAGGAAGGACTCACGTCCAATTCCTGTTAAAAAAAATTTCATCCTATGTGGGTAGAGATTTCCACAGTCATCCAATGACAGCTGTTGTACCATGGGATGATGAGATTATCCCATTTTCCATATAACAAGAAATGCTCTGCTTTCTCTGTATGTATTGTTCTGAATGAAACATAAACTTTCTGGTAAACCACAGTCTTATAAGATAGTATTAACTCTTATAAGCTAGTATTATTTGGAGAAAAACAGTTACTTGAAAAGTCAAATTGTTTTAGTTTCCATTTAAACAGATAAAATGCCTTAAAGATTTTGAGATAATGGCTCATATGTATAGATTTAAAATTTGAATACGTTTCTAAGTGAGTCTCTAAAAATACAGAACTGTGCTAATTGTCAAGTGATTAAAGCATTACAGGATCCAATACCCTGGGCAGAGCAAACAGTGTTATCAGTGTTCAAAGGTAATGATCATCAAACCAATTAACTGCTATTGTTAGATGTTTGATTAATATTTGAGATACTAGCATTTTAACTTCAGAAGATGTTTTTTATTCCAAATTAGTATTGTCAACTGCAAATACTGATGTGTTAAGCTAGAAAAGATTCTTTATATATCAAATCAGCACTGCTAATGTTCATAAACAGTACGGCTACAATTACTGGGCACAGGTTTAACCTTCTAACAACCAAACTAGTCTAAATCTAGATTTCTTTCTGCTAATCGATCAGAAGGCAAAGTATGAAATCATACGACCAGAATTATACCGAATCAAATGACAACAATTTTGGACATGCTATATTGTGATTTTTAAAAAAATTTAAAAGCTGCCCCTCTAAAGGAAACCCGATAGATGTTTTCAATACGGACACGCTGAGTGAAAGGAAAGGAACTCTGATTAACACAATGCTAGCTTATTAGTGTGGTGTGTCAGCAATTCATACGAGATTCAGAATACATTTATTTATACTGAACAACAAAGGTAATATGAAGTTAAAGGTACAAGATATTCTTCTAAGCTAACGGTTAAAAAAAACACTAATAAGGTGGAATGATTTGTTTTAAAGCAAATGTAATGATTTCCTCCAGTAAAATAATAATCATCGGTCTTAATCTAACACCTTTCATGTTGGGAGAACATCTCAAAATGGTTCAAAGGATTTATCGTAAAATTCACTGGCTCCCTACCTCGCCCACTTGGCATCGTGCTCCACCACTGTCAAGCGCTCTGGGATGCTACCCTGCATGATAGATCTGTCCCTGTTTCTACACAACCATAGAGCACTACTGCTAGCAAGGGAACAGGACATTTTCTTCTATTTATCTCTATTTCTCCAGTGTCATAGCCTATGACTGGCACATCGGGCAGGCAAGTGCCCTGCTTTGAGATCTCTGCAAATGCTGTTCTGCAACTAGCCATTAATATAGTCCCTACTTACAAGGACATATGCTTAAATGGCTAAAACAGGCTTTAAAGGTTGCCTTCTGTCAGTTTACAAAATATAAAGAAAAAACATTTATGTATGCAATACAATTTCGCAGCTGGTAAAATTGCTGTCCCACTGTGCAGCATTACCATTGATCTCTTTTGTCCACAAAACAGAATGTTTCTTTAGGCTGACTGTTTGAAAGCAGTTGGCTGCCAGGAGGAATTTCCTCAACACAAATGCCTTGTACATTAAAAATCCCTCAGATACAAACCGAACAAAATGAAGGAGGCCCCTTATTCAAATCTGTAATTTTTAAGGCTCTGTTTAATAAGAAGAATGTCTCTCCAGAAGTTGTTGAATTTTAAAATAATAGAGCTGCTGTTTCATGTTTCTTTCAGCGTTTTTCTTTACAGGGTGTTAGTATGGATCACAGCACTGAGGTTCAAGCTTCACAAAAATACCTAATGCTCCACAAAATAAGTTTGTCAGTATTGTAAATGAGTGGTATATGAGTTCAATTTATAGCGCCCATCTATCACCGGTTTCTGAGAGTGCTTATGAGTATCTAATGTAAATATGAAGTCTATTTAAGGCACAAATCAAACAGACTGCTTTGATAGATCTAAAACCGCTATGAGTAGTAATATATCCTAAAGAGTTATACCAGTGGTTATTATATATAGTGTCTAATAAAATTTCACAGAATGCAACTTCAGCTGAAGGTTTGCTCTTCTGTGCAATTTTTATTCAACATGTCTAATTTCTGACGATAAATCATCTTCAATTCAAAATCGCCATTTCACTGGGAGTTGCTTTAAAAACAAATTACAATTCAACTGCTGGACTTTGAATAGAATTATTATGCATGTGTAAATACTGTACTCCGTCCACAAGATTGAAACCTGTTCTTTGAACTGAAGCAAAAATAATAAAAGAAGGCTGGTTCGGACTATTCCTAAATCAGTGCTTCAATAATGCTGTAGTGACTGGATATTGATTCCAATCGGGTTGTGATTTGCAACAGGGGACCCCAATTTGCACTTACCTGGGGTGGGGTGGTGAACTGTAACTTAGGGCAAGTATTTGCAAAGCTTTGCTTACTTGTGTATAATGTTGTATTATAATTATATTTTCAGGAATGTAATCAGCTCTATAACAAAAGCCAATGTACCATGCAAGAACTCTTAACTTATTCTTTCAAGTTTTTTTTTGTAATTGGATGAAGTAAAATTCAAATCATATTGCAATCAGTGGGCATCGGTTGATGGTACCAATTCCAGCCAGGTGGGGTGCCTTGAAATCAAACTGATGCACGTTAGCACTGGTTTGATGCAAAACTCACTTCAAATAGAGCTAAACGTGGAGATAAATAGAGAATTGAATACCTCTCACAATGTGAACTGGTACATAAACATCTATGCCCAAAAACATTTGCAGTAAAGTAATATGATTGCAGCACACAAGACAACAACAACATGAATTTACATAATGCCATTCACGCGAGGTAGCGTCTCGGAGCGCTTGACACACTGCCAAAGTTGGTAATTTTTCTGACTAGTAGAAATATGTCCCCTCCCACTCCTGTCTTTTGGATTATAATCCAATCAAATATACATACCACACAGCTCACATCAATAATTATTTTTAAATGGTACTGTACAAAATTCAATAATAGGGTTATCTCGGTTTCCTGAACCAGCTCTTAAAAACCTTTCCAGCATTTAACAATCAAATAATGATCCATCAGCTGCCTCTCTGCATATCCAGATATATTTATTCTTGTAACTTGTTCCTAATGTCTTTGTTTTCTGATTTCCTAATCCCTCCTCTTTCTGATAAATAAGCTTCTCCAGCCCAACTCTTCATGTTCTGATTAAGGATTAACCACAAAGCATTAAGCAACATTCATAGCATTTTCCTTTTTTTGTTTCTTTGGTTAATTAATGTCAAATGATATTTATTTCTACCCATCTGTTTTTTCTTCTCCTCCACCAATCTGTTTTTCCCATTCCCCCTTCCCCCTCCTCTCCTGAAGGTGCTTACTCTCCGATGCAGAACTATTGCATTGGTGGGGAGCGCTATTTACCATTGACCCAAGTAGTCATTTTTCATGTGCGAATCTTGACAATGAATCTCAATAGATTATTCAACTGGGCCAGGGGTCATCACAGTTGACCCCAATCCTGACCTCACCAGACTTCCACACATGCTCACCGCCTGCACAGTCAATGGATGAGTTTTCAGAAGCAAGAAAGCTGGCTGATTTCCTCTTCTGCAACCCAGCAATGCTGAAGGCAAGTGTAGTACCATAACCAAATGTGGTGCCTTGGCTAAGATCAGCTAAGGCCAGGATTCAAACCTGCAACTTCTGTTCTATGGTGCCTTTACCAAGTCATCAGATATATCCATATATACTTATTTCATTTTCGTTTTATGATTTNAAAAAATCACAAAATATTCATTTATTTGAGAAAAGCTAATGCATTCCATTCCTAGTTTATCATAAACTGATTTGCTGTTATGTAATCATCACAATTACCATACTACATGTTGTTTAATTGTCCAGATTACCGTTTGTCCTTATGTGCAGTTGCGAAAAATGTATTTAGGTTGTGCACACAAATAAAAACAATGGCGTATTAAAGCTTTTTAGACTTTTGAATGTTGTTGCTAACAGAATAAAAGTATTACATGTGATCTTCCCGTAGTCCAGGATTACGTTCCAAGCCTAACTTCCTTATTGGAGACACTAGGAACAACCTCTGCACAATAGTACACTATTCTTATAAATCAATTTATAAATACAATACATAATTCCAAACCATGAAGTATTTGTGAAATGAAACATTTAATTTGTTCGGTTGTCTTCCTTTTGCATGTCTTTGAATAGGTTACAAAACTGAAATTAAATTTAGGAGAAGTAAAGATTTGGAATTTTTTTTGCTTTAAATTGAGGGAAAATCTGGACAATTAAACAGCATGTAAAACTGTAATTGTAAGTATTAAATAAAAGTAAATCAGTTTCAGACAAAGTTGAATTAGGAATGGAATGCATTAGCTTTTCTTAAATAAATGCATATTTTATGATTTTTTTTAATCTAGTGGTGTTTACAATAAATGCCCTTTTCACTAGATCATTACAAAATCATTAATGCACTGTTCATGACTTCAGTTTGAAAATGTGGTGATCAGACCAAAAGTTTAGGCTCCTTTCAAGTACTGCCAACAAAATTCAAATATCTGTTTTATGTCTTTCTAAGACCAGCACACAGCTTTAATCAATGTATTATACATCAAATTGATAATCTTAACTTCTGATTATTCAAATGTATTAAATATTCATAGATAACAGTCCAAATTTTTACATTTTCTTGACTTTCTTCTCCATTAATTATTATGCCTGGAAGCTTTTCAGAGGAGAAGCAGCCATCAGCTTGACTGAACTTGACAAGCCGGCATGGCCCAATTACACTGCTGCTCCAAAGAGCTTTGATGTAGTGGAAACGAAAAGAGATAGGGGCAAATTGTACAGCACATTATGTTAATGACTTGATTTAATACAAGCACTAAACTTTATGTAGACTGTTAAGGAAGATGCTAACACTAATTACGCCACTTTGGTGAGGAAAGGAGGGGACAAGCATTTCATTCTGACAAAGTGCAGCTCATAAATGTTGTAAATGAAATGAAATGAAGTAATCCGTGTTTAATTATACATCACAGGCAGGGAAAGCAGACAGAATCTGTAGCCAAGCATCTAAGAAACCTGTTGGATTTCTTTTTTGATCAAAACATCTAAGAAATAGCTCCAAACAGTGTGATGTGCTGGTGGTATAATACCATAATCGGTGTGCCACTTTAATTACAACACTAAACATGAAAACACTCGTGCATTTAAAATACAGCCTTGTATGCATCACAAATTACTGTGTAATTGACGATCTGCTGAGTTACTGTGTAATTAGAAGATCCGTTGAGTTCTACACCTTAAGCACTCCTGGAAATGTATATTTTTCATTATCTTGCAGTCAACAGCAGAACATGGATTTTAATCCTATAATTACACTCGCTATCTGACAGCATTTCTTCTTGTGCATCTCCCCACCCGCAGGAATTTAAAAACCAAACTGCTGAAGGTGGCTGTATTTTTAGTGCTCATCTCAGCTCTACAAAGTAATCATTTGTGCAGAGAATTCCAAATTCAAAGTAAATAAGAATTATTCGTCTTTAAAATACACACTATGAATAAGTGATCTCCTATTTCGTTATGGGCAAACTGAGACTTTAATATTGTAGACAAGCGTCTGTTTCCTTATTCAAACAACATGTAATGCAGGTATATTAACACACCATATATTTTTACTTTGCTGTGGAATAAGTAATCCCTTATTTGAGAACGTCATAAATTTGAACATTTTAGTGCAGTAACATGTAATTAAATATCCTATAGATTCCTCTGGTTAAAAAGGCATCTGTGCCACAGTTTGAAATTGGTGGTTGCATTTTTATACCCCTCTGGAGACAAAGTAGTAGACTGGTAGCCAATCAACCGTGGGCAATTGCTTAATGTAGCTGGTCATATAATGAGATGTTAGATGTGCTTTACTTAAGGACCGGTTGGGGATTGAAAGCCAATCAGGAATGGTTACCGACTAATGTAGCTGGTCATATTACTCAATGTTAGTAATGCAAGACCATGTAGGTGGATAGGGACAGAGCATCAATGAAATAGCATGGTTCAAATGACCTTCTGCACTTACTCTTGATAAATGAATCAATCAGCTGTTTTCAATAAAGACAGCAAGCTTAGGAACTGAGATATGTTCTGTAACTGATAGCTCAATAAGCCATTAATGTACACAGAGAGTACTAAAGGTCATTTTGTTCAAGACCTTCCCAATGATACTTCTCCAATTCAGCTATGAAATGCAGCACTTCCCGCAGTAAAATGGCCTTTTTAGCTTTCAGCTAGTAGAGACCATCATTAACTGTCAAATACAGGGCTGTGGAGAAACTTACACATAATCAACTCAACTTTCAGGGTAGGAAATCTAGTAGGAACTTACTCAACTTACAAAATAAAAAAGCTTTTAAGCTTCTAATCCCCATTTTCTTTGTAAAATATAAACACTAACTACGTTATACTTTATAAATTGAGTCTGCGTATTTTCAGAGTGAATCAAGGTTACTCTGTATTGAATCATGTTACTTCTGACCAGTTGTGACGCAAAAGACTTCAAATAAAGAAAACTGCACAGTGTTGTTTTATAAAAAAGGTTGTGTTAATGCTAATTAGGAATTTACAGGTCTGGCTGTCAATTACTGTCAGTTATTGTAATCTAAACTTTTCATCTGGTATTCAGATTCATCGATGAATGGAAATTGCACTCAACAAATGTAAGTGCATGGTTTGTTTAGGGACTCATTTCTCATTTACAGTGGAAAATGCATAATGGGCCATTATCAGCTATTGAGTTGGAGAGCGTTACATTTATTAAAAAAATGAATATCAGTGTTAACCAGTTTTCACACTACATATCATTATAATCAGCTTCTGCAATCATGAATGTACGATACATAACAGCTTAGTTCCAGATAAATAAAGTGAAAGTAAATTTAGAGGGCTATACTTCTTCCTGCAGAGCTAATTCCAAAACATATCATTATGCACACAGCACACTTTAACTAAACAGAATGATGTGCAACTGGAAATATGTTTTTTTTTCCAAAGCAATCTTGGAAACACTTACAGTGGTTTGTTTCAAAGGGAATGGTTGGTTCAGTCATATGATACAATCAAATGAATATCAAATAATCGGTTCATTTATCAGATCCTCATCATCATATAACCTTGGATCAAAATTGTTCCTAAATGCTTTTCTACTGTCCCCAGGATCCAATTTTCAACTGTTAAAAGGAATTGACTAACCTGCTTTATATCCTTTGATGGCCAGCCTGGGACAATAGAGTCATCGCTGTCAGTTATTGATTCATCAATATCAGTTGCCTGTGCATCATTCCCATCTGCGAAAGAAACAGTGCTGAAAACAATTAGAGTTATGATCTTTTCCTAGATTTATAGTAGGAACAGATGGCCGCACAATATTGTGGTTAGAAAAATATGATTAGGTAACCAGTCAAATAACTTCGTAAAAAGTTATGTCTAACATAAATGGATGTTATTTTACGATTATATTTACTGAAGTAAAATGATTGCTTGCATGGCAGGCAAATTCCTCATAATAAATTCTTCAAACCATTTTAAGACATACAGGTTAGAATCTCAAAAGTCTGATGCACAGATGCACAGAAATGCAATGATAACTACATACAATACACATAGCAAAACACAATTGTGGTTGTCTTAAGTTACCATTTGAGAGCAGTGAAGCTAGGCCATGCAGCAGTCAATTAACTGCATTATTTTCAAAAAGCAATATAATACAACCAGAATGTGAGAGAAAAGGTGATGATGCAAATAATGCGTTACTAAAGTCAAGAAGCCTGAAAAGAATCAACTTATTAGCTTCCTTTATGGCTCCGTGGATGAATACACAGCTGGTGTGCTAGTCACAAAACCGAGAAACCTCACTGGCTCAATCCCTAACCTGTCCTGTTAATCCCTTTGTTGTACATCATTCTATATACGTGCTATACTGCATCGCATAAACATAAGACACACTTGTGGAATCCTGTGAATAATAGTTTATTGAATGACGCAGCTAACCTTGATCAGATTCTTTTACATCTATTGTTTCACTTTCTTCTGAGATAGCTCCACTTTGTCCTGATGGAAAAGCAACCTGTCCATCAGACAACTCTGAAAGCTCTCCTTCTTCCTGAACCTTCTCAAAATTTGGCTCCGCTCCATCTTCCAAGGCTGTGCCTTTGCCATCCTGATTTTTAAAATGATATACATGATATAATAATAGACAGCACATTGCATGTATAACCACGTATTATTGCATGACTCCTTTATTATTTCCAAATAAATTAAGTATGCAAAAACAGAAATTTAAAAGCGTTTCGCAAAGTGAAATATAATTAATTGTTCTGTTATTCATTTGCATGCTTAATTTCAAAAGAAGCAGTAATCTAAAACTCAAATGAACAATATTTTTTCTATCAAAACCATTACATTTTCAGGACTATCAACTCATTACAGCTCTCCATTCCTATAAAAGGTAGCAACAGGAATAGGCACTGATCAAAAACCTGAGACACATGGTAGATCCATACTATCCATAATCTGGATGTCAAGTTCACTATTTACTGTGATGACGGGGAAGGAAACATACCTGGATTGCTGGTTCAGCTGTTTGTGGAGTAACTTCAACCTCTTCTCGTTTCTGAGCCACAATACTGGGAGTTCGCTTCAGCTACAAATAGAACACAAAATCTTAAAAATTGGTGGAATGTCAACAGTGAACATATAATTACACGCAATTGTTTTTTGAATGCTCATCATAAAAGGAGTTTATAGGCTGGGGGAAAATAGGCCACGAACCTCAGCTGCCCAACCTGAGTATAATTAATTCAACACATACTAACAATCACACCTGGATTTTCACACTGGGATTACACCAAGTCCGTTCACATCCTAACCCATGATTACAGTACCAACGACACAAGACTCAAGCCAATCTATTGTCGTGAATGACTTGCATCACCCAACCTGAATGTGGAAGTTGCGCAATCGAGAAATGCATAAGTTTAATACCACTGACATTATCCAACATGTAGCTGTGAATTAAGGTGAGTTGATGCACATGCGAGACATCAAATGGTTTGGATAGTATTGCTAGTCCTCCATGCAGATTGCGTACAAGTGTATATACCTCGCTCACTGGTTCAACTGTTCCTGCAGCACTTTTAGTCTCCTCTAACTTCCTGTCACTGGGAGTTCGCTTTATCTACAAATTATTTCACAAAAAAATTAAAAACTGGTGCACTGTCCATGATAAACTACAACAACAACTGGCATTTATAAAGCATCCTTCACATATGCTAACTTTTCATAAATCTTTAATGAGAGTCAGATACCAAAAAAAGGAGGGGGAATGCTGAGGTGACCATAGTCAAAGAGGTAAGTTTTATGGTGGGAATTGAAGATAGTGAGAGAGGAGGCAAAACAGAGGGGAGAACAGGGCAAAAGCGGAGTTCTGAGAAGTTAGTTCAACATATACAGATGATCACACCGGGACCTTTGGTAAAAATAATTAGAGCACTTGCTTTGCAAGCGAGAGACCTGAGTTCAATTCCAGGCAGGGCGAAACCTTGGGCAAGTTTCCTTACTCCACACACCTAATAATAATCCCTCCAAAACCAAAAACAATAATAAAATTGGTCATTTTCAATCTACGACTGTTTGTGGGACACTGCTGTGCGCAATTGGCTGCCGCGTTCACCCACAAATATACAGTCAATTTACTTTACAGTATATTCTGTGAAGCGCTTTGGGACGTCTAGAAGACATGAAAAGCGCTATATCAAATGCAAGGATTATTATTATTATTATATGTTGGGAACTGGGTGGCTCAGGTTTATAGTAGAAAGATCATTCACATCCCAGCTCGTCAGTGTATCAGCAGAGACACAAGCTCCAAATCAATTTCTTCGAGGGGATGACATTTAGGTGGAGGTTGAGGAGTCGAGAAAAATGTCTAGGTTTGTCTTTATTTTGCTAACATTTCTAGTTATTTTTGTCTGGATGCAGGATGTGTTGTATCTACCACTGAGCTATGTATCAGCAAGTGGTACATGCTAAAGCTTTTCTGATTTGGTTATTATCAATAGTCTTCCCTGCTTCTTCCACGCAAGTGTGTATACCTGGCTCACTGGTTCATCTACTCCAGTTGCACTTTTGGTCTCGTCTAGCTTCCTACCACTGGGCGTTCGCTTTATCTACAAATAAAAATAGAAATGGTACACCTCCAAGCTTGAACCTCATGAGTCCCAAGATAATTTGTTCTAGTGGATGATATCCAACACCCTATGTGTATGTGGGGGTTGAGAAGCCTATAACAATATATAGGTTTGTCTTAAATCTGCTAACATTACTATGTGACTGCGCAGCATTCCAAATAAAAAAAGGAAAATGGATGAAACCTGAATGTGCTTAAGTACCATTTTCACCTACTGTGCTTGATTGGCCTTTCCATGCCTTTTGCTGAATAATAAGTAGGATTTCTTTGGCTAGATGTGGGATGTGTTTTATTCTAACGTGCAGCTTTGTGTGGAAGTGTGATCAGCCATTAATCAAAGAGTTGGTGTACATGCTGCACCTTAGTTCGTTTGGATATTATCGCTAGTCTTCCCTACATATTGTATGCAAGTGTATATACCTGGCTGACTGCTTCAACTGTTCCTGTAGCACTTTTAATCTCCTGTAGCTTCCTGACACTAGGAGTTTGCTTTACCTACAAATTATGAAACATTCTTATTAAAAACATTCTTATTAAAAAAATGGCAGAGCCATTGCTGAACACCATTTAATCACCATACATTATCCAGCACAACTGTTTTTTTGAATACTCATCTTATAGGCTAGAGGGAAACAGGCCATTAACCACAGCTATTTCATCATGGAACAGTTGGTAACACATACCAAATATCACACCTGGGCTTTTGCTGATATGTGTGAGTCAAATCAAAGAAGCAATACGAGAAGAATCTACTTTAAAAGGAGATACATGCTTAAGCCACAATTTCACCTTGAATGCCTGCTTGACCTTTACATGCTAAAGAAAAATCAGGGGTTTTGTTTTAGTCGTGGGACGATTTATATCTAACGTCAAGCTGTGTGGAAGCAGGTCGAAATGTGATCAGGCACTGATTAATGAGTTGATGGAAATTATCACTAGTCTTCCCTGCTTATTGTATGGAAGTGTATATACCTGGCTTATTGGTTCATTTGTTCCTGCAGCACTTTTTGCCTCCTCTAGCTTCCTGCCACTGGGAGTTCGCTTTACCTACAAGTTAGTTAATGGAAAGAAATTGGTCCACAGCCAATTTTGAACACCATATAATTACACACACAACTTCATGTAGGATAATATCTTAGAACACTACAGGGTGAACAGTAGGAGCCTGAGCAGGGAAAGAGGGATAGGGGAGTGGTGACTCTAGGCACAGTTGAAAAGGTAGGTTTCAAGGTGGGTTTTGAAGATTGATGGAAAGGAGGGGAAATGGAGGGGAGTATTCATTTTAAAAGGGGATTATAGATTAAACAGGATTTTTTTTTTACGCAGAACTTGTTAAATCTAACATGGAACTGTAAATCAAGGTATTAGGGTGATCAGGTAATGATCAAGGAGTTGTTGCACATCCTAGATCTTAGCTGCTATTGAAGCTAGTCTTCCCTGATAATTGTGTGCAAGTATATATAACTGGCTTACTGGTACAGCTGATTCTGCATCACTTATAGTCTCCTCTTGCTTCCTGAAACTGGGAGTTCTCTTAACCTATGAATTATTCAGTGACAATTAAAAATTGTTGCATAGCTGGCCAAAGCCGAACACAATATATTTTGAGATAGGAATTAAAGACAACTAGAGAGAAGACAAGACAGAGGGGGAATACACAGCTTGAAAGAGAATTATAAACTAAAGGGAAAACAGGTTACGAAGGACAGTTGCCTCATCTGAGAACACTTTATTCAAAGAACACACCTGGGACTTTCCTGATCTCTGGAAAGTGGCTGAAGATTATATCCAAAAGTCCATTCGCAGCCTAACCCATCAGTGTATCACCAGAGTTCTACATCCCAAGTCAAACTATTTTAGTGAATGACATATATGACATGTCTACCTGTATGTGGAGGCTGAGGAGTCCAGAAAAATGCAAAGGTTTGTCTTAATTCTGCTGAAATGCCTTTTGCTCTGTATCAGCCTTGCTTTTTCTTCAACAAAATGCATGGAAAGATCAACCAGGCTGAAATTGGTGCTTAAGCACATATAGATACCACTCATCCAACTTATTCGATTTGGAATACAGTGCAGATACACAGCACGAAATGTCAGAATGTTTACATGCATTCTGCTGAAGACAAGCAGCTATATCTAACATGGAGATGCGAATCAGCAGATGGTACTTGGATGATAAGGCACTGGTTACAGAGTTGATACACATGTTAGACCTTATCTGGATTGGATATCAACACTACTCCTTCCTATTTATGTGTTTATAAGTGTATGTACCTGGCTCACTGGTTCAACTGTTCCTGCAGCGCTTTCAGTTTCCCCTAACTTCCTGTCACTGGGAGATTGCTTTACCTATAAATTATTTAACAAAAAAAATTAAACATTGGTGCAGAGCCAACGCTAAATACCATATTACAGCCAACGTTGAATACCATATAATTACATGCAGAACTGTTTTCTTAAGTAACAATAGCGACTTGCATTTATATAGTGCCCTTGATGAACGATGTCTCTGAATCCCTTAAATTAACAAGGTTGAACAACAGGCAGGGGAGAGAAGGGGGAAGCGACTATAAGCATGGTTGAAGTAGTAGATTTTAAGACAGGACACAAATTCAGCTAAAAAAACGCAACAAAGGGGAGTACACAGTTTAACAGGGGATTATTTTCTAGAGGGAAAATGGGTCACTAACCTCAGTTGCCTCATTTTAGAACAGTTAGTTCAACACATACCACAGAGAAGACACCTGGGACTTTCCTGATCTGTGTGGCACAGAATTTACACCAGAAAGTCCATTCACATCTTAACCCATGATTGCACCAGAAACATGAGTCCCATTTAATTTCTTCCAATTGATAACATTCAACACTCTACCTCTATGTGGAAGTTGAGGAGTCTTGAAAAACGCATTGGTTGTCTTAATCCTGTTAATATTTATTGTGCTGTATCTGGTCTGCATGCCAAATCAAACAAACAGGTTGAGTGGAATCTATATATGCTTTGGCATGTTTGGTTGAGCTTTCCATGCATTTTTGGAAGAAAAAAACAATTTTATTGTCTGGACATGGAGCTATAATTCAGTGGGCGGAAGGGTAATCAGGCACTGTTCAAAGATTTGATGCACATGCTAGACCTTAAATGGTTTAGATATAACCACTAGTTTTTCATGCAGAATGTATGCAAGTGTATACCTGGCTGACTGCTTCATCTGTTCCTGCAGCACTTTTAGTCTCCTGTAGCTTCCTGCCACTAGGAGTTCGCTTTACCTACAAATTATGAAACAATTTTATTGAAAAAAAATGGAGCAGTTCCATTGTGGAACAATTAATTACATACATAACTGTTTTCTTGAGTACTCATCTTACAGACTAGAGGGAAACAGGCCATTAACCACAGCTATGTCATTATGGAACAGTTGGTTCAACACATACAAAATATCACACCTGTGACTTTGCTGATATGTGTGCGTCAGGATTATACCAGAAAATCCATTTACATCCTAACCCATCATTACAGCACCAGAGACATGGGACCAAAGACAATTTCTTCCAGTGGGTGACAAACAAGGAGGTATGTGGAGGTAGAGGAGTCTACACCAATTCATAGGTTTGTCTTAATTCTGCTAACATTTCTTGGCATGTATCGGCACTGCATTTCAAATCAAAGAAGCAATACGAGAAGGATTTACTTTAAAAGGAAATATGTGCTAAAGCATCAACTTCACCTTGAATGCCCGGTTGACCTTTACATACATTTTGCAGAAGAAAAATCAGGGTTTGGTTGTCGTGGGACGATTTATATCTAATTTTAAACTGTGAGGAAGCAGATGGAAGTGTGATCAGCCACTGATTAATGAGTTGATGCATTTGCTAGACCTTATCTGGTTTGGAAATTATCACTAGTCTTTCCTGCTTATTATATGAAAGTGTATATACCTGGCTTACTGGTTCATTTGTTCCTACAGCACTTTTTGTTTCCTCTGGCTTTCTATCACTGAGAGTTCGCTTTGCCTACAAATTAGTTAACGGAAAACAAGCAGTTTTATCTAACATGGAGATGCAAGTCAGTAGATGGTCGTTGGATGATGAGGCACTGGTCACAGAGATGATGAACATGCTAGAACTTATCTGGATTGGATATCAACACAACTGTTTCCTGTTTATTGTGTTTATAAGTGTATGTACCTGGCTCACTGGTTCAGCTGTTCCTGGAGCACTTTTAGTTTCCCCTAACTTCCTGTCACTGGGAGATTGTTTTACCTATAAATTATTTAACAAAAAAAATTAAACATTGGTGCAGAGCTAACGCTAAATACCATATTACAGCCAACGTTGAACACCATATAATTACATGCAGAACTGTTTTCTTAAGTAACAATACATCTTGCATTTTTTTGGTACTCTTGATGTACGATGTCTCGGAATCCCTTAAATTAAAAGGGTTGGATATAGACCAGGGGAAAGACGAAGGGGAGTCCACAGTTTAACCGAGGATTATCATCTAGAGGGAAAATGGGTCACTAACCTCAGCTGCCTCATTTTCGAACAGTTAATTCAACACAAACCACTGAGACTTCACCTGTTTTAATGTCTGGACATGGAGCTATGAATCAGTGGGCGGAAGGATAATCAGGCACCAATCAAACATTTGATGCACATGTTAGACTTTCAATGGTTTGGATATTATCACTAGTCTTCCCTGCAGTATGTATGCAAGTATATAGAGCTGGCTCATTGGTTCAATTGTTCCTGTATCACATTTCATCTCTATCGTCCTGCCACTGGGAGTTTGTTTTACCTACAAATTATTTAACAAAAGAAATTAAAAACTGGTTCAGAGCTAACACTAAATACCATATGATTACGTACACAAGGACCCATGTTAAACAAGGATTATAGGCTAGAGGAAAAACAGGCCACTCACCAAGCTACATCATCATGGAACAGTTAGTTCAACACATACCAAAGATATACACACCTGGGACTTTCCTGATCTGTGTGGATTATACCAAAATATCCATTCACATCCTAACCTATCACTACCTGTTCATAGCATCAGCGACATAAATTCCAAGTCAGCAACAACAACAAATTACACTTATACAGTGCTTTCACCTTGAAAGGATGTCCCAAGGTGCTGAAATCAATCTAATGTAGTGAATGTCTTGCAACACCCTAGTGAGAGTTCTAGAAAAGATTTCGTAACATTTCTTGCTATGTATCTGCACTTCATTCCAAATCAAAGAAGCCATATGAGTAGAATCTATATGTGCTTAAGCACCAATTTCACATTGTCTTCCTGAAGAAAAAGCAGCATTTTTTTGCATGGACAGGGGTCATATTATATTTAAAATAGAGTTGTCAATCAGCTAGTTTGATAATTAACGTTAATGTTGCCTGCTCATTGCGTACTACTGTATCTACCTGGTTCACTGGTTCGTCTGTTCCTGTACCACTTTTACTCTCCTCTAGCTTCCTCCCACTGGGAGTTCGCTTAACCTACAAATAATTTTATGAAAAAAATAAAAATTTGTTTCATCTATGATAATATCTCAAAGCACCTTACAACAATTTTACAAAAAAAATTGGTCCAGAGCTAAGCTGTGTGTCATATAGTTACATACACGGCTGTTTTTTCTTGATTAGAAAAACAATTTGGATTTCTAATGTGTATACCTGGTTCCCTGCTTCAGCTTCTCCTGCAGCACTTCTAATCTCCTCTAATGTCCTGTCACTGACACTAGAAGTTCGCTTTACCTATAAATTATTTAATGAAAAATAAAGAAAAGGTGCAACAACTTGTTTTAATATAGCATCCTTCACCTTGGATCACATTACAGTGGGTGGGTTGGGGGAGGGGAAGGAGAGGGGGAATGTGGAGGTGATCTTATGACCAGTTCATGAGGTAGATTTTAAGGTGGACCATGGACAGAAAATTGGCTGCTAACTTGAAGGCTTAGTTGAGGAAGAGCAGGATGAGGCTCATGTGGAGCATAAACACCGGCATAGAGCAGTTGGGCCGAATGGCCTATTTCTGTGCTGTACATTTTAATGTATTTAGCTGAAGGCATCCCAGTTAAGAATGGTTAGTTCAACCATATTAAAGATCAAACCTGGGACCATTTGATGTGTATAGATCAATATGCACAACAAACTCTACATCCGTAACCCATCGCCACAGCACTGGAGACAGAGCGACTGAAGTCTCAAGTCATTTACATCCATTGGATGACAAGCACCATTCTATCTGTACATGGAGTGTTGAGAAACCTACCCATAAGTTTGCCTTAAGTTACGAGACTATTTCTTGCTATGTACCTGGTTAATTTTCTCAGGTTTGGCTGGAATATTTTTCACCTCATCTAACTTTTTTTCAGAAGAGGATTTCTGCAAAACTAATTAACAGAACAAGAAAGAAAAACTAGGTGTGATTAACATGGGATCAAGCAAATGTGGGCTTTAGTTAGAGCTTGTCTTGAATTTCAAAGGGAGAGATCAATGGAAGGTGAGTACTAATTAGAACTGTGTCTCCATATTACAACAAATAAAATATCAAAATGTTACATTACATAATCTTTCCACACACCCATGCCATTTGTGTTGTAAACGTATAAGTAGATTGAACTATTTAATATAAAAAGTGAATGATAAAATTTCATTATTTTAATTAGTGGCCTTATCATGATTACTCAACTGCAGAAAATTATTGGTTGATGTACGACTGATAGCTGCATCAGTATGTTCTACAAAGAGGCTTTATGTGGAGTTCTGTAGCTCAGTGGTTAGAGCACTCGCCTCACAAGTGAGGGACCTGGGTTCTATTCCCTGCAGAGCGAAATGTTGGGCAAGTTTCTTTACTTCACACGCCTCTGTTTACCTAGCAGTAAGTAGGAACTCAGTTGTTAGTCGATTGGAAGATCGCTTTTCCAGGGATAATAATCCCTCAAGAAAAAAATAAATACATTTGGTCACTCAATCCATGATTGTTTGTGGGACCCTGATTTGCACATTTGGCTGCCATGATTCGCCAACAAAATATACCGTCAATTCACTTTACAGTATATTCTGTGAAGCGCTTTGAGACGTCTAGAAGACATGAGAAGCACTATATCAAATGCAAGAATTATTATTATTATTTATCTAGAAACGCACAGCACCAACAACCCTTTCTATAAATTAGGTGGAACGACTTAGCTACATGAAATAACTAATGCAAAAGTATGGGCAACATATATTTCTTTGCATCTCTGGCACACCTATATTTGAATGTTTTGATGATTTGGCTATGGGCCAATGTTATTAAAAGAAACAATGTGAGTGGAATTTAATTTAAATAGAGATATTTGCATGAGCACAAATTTGGCCTAGTGTGTCACATAGACATCTTCAAGCATTTTCAGAAGCGTGAAAAGACTTTGTCTCAATGGGGATTTGCTGCTTTTAACATGCAGCAGTCAATCAGCAAGTGGTTAAGTTAAGCAGGCACTGATTTAAGTCGAGTCAAATCGTCAAGCCTATTTTCTTCACTGTTGATGTGTGGAAGAGGGAAGTACCTGGGGTATTGTTTCATCTTTTTCTGAACTGTTAACCTCTTCTCGCTGTTTGGCAACAACACTGGGAGATCGCTTTACCTAAAAAATATTAATGGTGGAAAAAACATTTGGCATGGTGCTGTAATTGGATACTATAACTATATTTGTAACTGTTTTCTTCAGTATTCATTTTAAAAGGGAAGGAAAGACAAAGTGTAACAGGCCACAAAATCAGAAATAGGGCCATGAAACAAAGCTGCTTCCGAGAGAACAGTTAATTCAATACATACCAAAGATCAAATCTGAAATCTTCCTGATCTTTATGTCTCTGTATCCCACCACCATTAAAGTCCAAACCCTACCCTTCATTGTAGCACCAGACACCAGTCAATTTCATGCAATGGATGACATGCAACATCCTATCTGTATGTGGAGGAGGAAGAATCTCGACAAAAGCATACGTTCAACTCAGTTAAGCTAATGCTTCTTGCTATATACCTGGCTATTTTCTTCAGGTTTTGCTGAAATATTTTCCACCTCTTCTAATTTCGTTTCAACCACAGTATCATCTGTTCCTGGCTCAATTTTAGCTTCCTCTTGCTTCTTCCTAACTAAACTGCAACCTTGTTTTACCTATAAATTATTTAACCAAACAAAACATAAAAAACTGGCATCAAACCAATATTGAATAACATACAACTGTTTTCTGGAGTATTTATCTTAAAATAGGAGGAAAAGTTAAAGAGAAAGCAGGCTTCTAATCCCTGGTGCCCCAACTGAAAATAATTATTGTAGTCCAACACATACCAAAGATTGGGATCTTCCTGATCTGTGTGGCTCAATATCAAACCACAAAGTCCATTCCTATTCTAACCCAGCACTGCAGCATTAGAGATGCAAGTCCAAAGTCAATTTCATCTTCTGGATATATGTAACACCCTATTTGTACGTGGAGTTTGATGGATCTAGGCAAAAGCCTAAGTTTGTCAGCTGAGAACGGTTAGTTCAACACTTACTAAAGGTCAACCCTGGGAACTTAACTTACATGACTCACCATCATAAAATCACTATCTGTACTTGGAGGTTGAGGTTACATTACACTAATACTTCTTGCTATGTACCTGGCTAATTTGTTCAGGTTTTGCTGGAATACTTTCAACCTCTTCTAACTTCTTTTCAACAACAGTAGAAGATCTGGATATCTGCACATTATTTAACAGAACAAAAACAAAAAAAGCTAGATATGAAACCAGGACAATTAACATGTTGTCGAGCACACATGGACTTTAGTCAGTAGTTGGGTTAAATTGCTGAGTTTCACTGCAAGGTAGTTGACAGTGTTTTTTGTGCTGAATGTGTCTTCGTATTATAGCAATGGGGCACAATTTGAGACCTGTCATATTATGTTCCTTGGGAAATTACCACATTTGTTATATTCCGAATTATCAATAGCAGATTACAGAGCAGGTCCATTGGGAAAATGCCAAGATAGGCTGGGAGTAATAATCACTTAAAAATAATAATAATCATTTAGTCACTCAATCCAGAAAGTTTGTAGGACACTGATATGCACAATTGGCTGCCGCGTTTCGCCCACAAAATATACAGTCGATTCACTTTACAATATATTCTGTGAAGCACTTTGAGACATCTCAAAGATGAGATAAGGCCCTATATCAAATGTAAGGATTATTATTAAACACTCCAGGAGGCTACACTGATTGACAGGTGAGTTATTTTAGATATTTTTGCTGTGTTTAATAATGCAGTCCTCATGATAGTTATAGTCACTCAAGAAGCATGTTAGGAAACATCGCAAATTTCACACCAATATTTTCTCCCGTTCTGTCCATATCATTTATTTTGTGTTCCGAATGGTTGCATAGAATTTGTAAGTTATACGGTTTGATACAAATAAAACAGTTGTGCATATTTATCATGGTTACTAAAACACAGAAGATTATTGTCAGTGATATGCTTACTGTTGCAGAAGGATCTGCAAAAGACACTCTTCTTTCTTGTTTTCCAGAATCAATGTATAATTTTCTGGGTTTGGGAGTCGGTGGCATCTAAAATAACAAAGGACACACATTTAAGAATATTAATAAATTTTCTTTGTTCAGTAATCTCTCTTTCCCAAATTGCTTTCCCTTCTACTTCTTTTGGGTCATGCACCTCTGAACTTAAGGGCAGAATGGGCAGCTTGCTATCAGCTGTTGCTGAGGACAGTGTTGGCTGATTGCTAAAGGGGAATATAAGGGCATTTGAAAGGGTCATGGTTTGAACTTTTTAATTGTGGCCTTGATAAAACATATTGTGGTTTTCATCATCTGAAATGAAGGCATACCTTACATTAAGCATGGTCAAATTATGGTCTTTTCTACAACATGGGACACACTGTATGGAGACAAAGAGGTAGAAATTATGCCAGATTTTAATTCTTTTGCCCGTATATTTGCACTTAATAATGTCAAGAACAAAAAAGAATCATCTCACAAATATGTCAAATATACTAGTCATCTGACAAACTAATGAAATGAAATAACTGATATTGTATAGCTTTTTCACAGGCTTGTTCATTCGGAGTGTGCAAATGGAATCATTTGTACCAGTGAAATTGAAGAAAGTTAATTGCCTTGCCTTAACTACGGTCCCTGACGAAGGTTTAGATAATGGTGATGCCTTCAGTTCTTCTTCTATTGGCAACTTTTCTGGTTCTTGCTTTGGTACCACTTCAGCTTGTTCCACTGTCATTGTGGATCCACTTGGTGGAAAGTATGAATTCTGCCATTTAAGCACAACATTGACTGTGCCATTGGCCTGCCCTTCAGAATTTCTAAGTTCAAATGTACCTGCAAATAAATCAATGAATGAAACCACTTCATCAGTATTAAATGACTGGAAAGGACAAGAAAGCTGCACATTTTTTTTACATCAAATTCAACAAGACTGCATCTTCTGTTGGCTCTGTTATTACTATTGGATATTTCTGAGGTTAGCTGCAGTAACAAATTACAGACAGGCCCAGTGATCCAACAATGTGTTACTGATTGACAGAGTACAGATTTCCATCCAAGATCAACTGTACAATCAGTTACTGATATCAACCAAGTCAGCATTCTCCAAAAAAAAGGAGCTATCAATTATTACCTGTGATGTACTTGTCATGAGCGAGTGAAATAAGGGGAACATTGGCCTTGCCCAGGTAAAAGGTGTTATCAGGCTCTTCATCATCAAATACATAAATGTGTAATGATTCTGACTTAAGATATTTGTCAAGATCTGCATTCATTGGTACAGGAAAGCTGAAGTGATCGTCAAACTGTGGCTCGTTAGTGTTCGGGATTATCGACGTATCATGGTCTGCAAAATCAAAAAACTTGTAGACAACGTAAGGACTTGGCTGGCCATTCCTCCTTTCAGTTTGTAGGTTGGAGCAGAATTTTATAGTGATATAAAGTTCGTTCAGATTACCATCTGCTAGTGGTGAAGTGTTTATCTGCGAAATGGTGGGTACCTATAGATTAATTGAGAAAACACATTATGATTAAAGGCTATTATTAATTAGCTCAAGGGGGAAATACATGCTAAGTCATAAAAAAAAATCTTCTTTAGCTTCTATCATTCTTACATTTATCTAATACAGAAAGAGGAGGCATGAGAAACAGGATTAAAATGATTAAGACAATGCATTTGCAGCAATAAGTTACTTCTAAATTACTTTACATTTTGTAGGCAGAGGCCAATGAGATGAAAGATTGGGAAATTTCTTAAGTATAAATATTTAGAAAAGATTAAATGATCTATCTTAAGTATAGACCTCGGTATTGCTCAATCTCTGTGCGGAGACAGGAACTTTTTTATACTGTACTAAAAATTGGAGAATCAGCAGAATATTGTACTACGTACAGGTCAAGAATGCTGGATATTTTTAACATCATCTTAATCAGAAAGTATGTTTCATAAAGAAAGCTAGAAGGCAATAAACACAACTAAAAACTAAACTAAAACACTTCATTACAAGGAATTTACCTCCGGTGTTTTATCATCTGCTTTCAGATTAGAAACAATATACCCAAGGGCCTTTGTTCGTTCTTTGTAAAGTCTAATGGCTTGATCCATTGGCACTCGTAGCCTAATCCAGTATTCCAATGTACCATAATCTTTAACATCTCCTCTGATACCTGCATTCAAAATCATGATTGCATTTAAAGAAAGATTTATATTCAGAGAGCATTATTTCTATGATAATACTAATTGCTTTGTCTTGTGTGGATATCTCTTTAAAAATCAATGAATTACTTATACAGTAAAACTTACAGAAGTCAGGACCATAACATTTAATGATTTAAAGCGATAGTTTGCAAGCAAACTACAATATAAAATCCGATTTTATCAATAATCTACACTACGCCTCCGTAATTCATTGCAGCCGTTCACTGCAGTAATTTGTCACGGCAGTCAGTACATGTGCATGTGTTGACAGGTCAAGACTATGTTTCCCCGATCAATGAGTCTTGACCTGTCAATGCATGCACACTTACCAGTAAGCATTGGAATCGCAGGAAAGGAAGTTTTTCTGCGCATGCAATGATGGATCAAGACTCTGTTTCCTGCGATTCAATGCGGCCGGCCAGAAGAGGTTGATATCTTCAGTCCAATCTTTCAATCATTAATCCAATTGTATAGTCAAGAATGGTCAAAATTCAGATCACTGCAATGCTATCCATCATAATATTCATGTTGGTAAGTAGACTTGTGTTTGAGAACTGCATACAAAAGTACAAGTAAAGAAAGTTACTGGATGTTGCTGCTGATTGAGTGTACCACTATGTATCTTTCACATCTATTAAAACTATTATAATTCCAATAAAACAGCTTAACCACAACACTGTCAAAAAATATTTGTGTCTTTGGCACAATGATTTCAGATCATTCAGGCCAGAGTGAGCAGGAAGCTTTTACACCTGGATTTTATTTTTGGCAGTTGTCATCTGATTTCAATTTGTGTCAAAGATACTTTTTCTATTATCAGAGTAAATTGTTTTGCAGTTCTATAAATCAATGGCTTGAGGGGATTCTAATCGCATTTGATAGCCTTGATAATCAAAAGATTTGTTTGGAAATTAAAGAGCCTAAACAAATGTCCTTCATAATCGATTAGTCAAAGGTTAGTTTTGACCACTCTGAAACAAAAAAGGGTCAATCGTCCAACTACTAGACTATGGAAAGCCATGTATCCTTGGTGAGTGCTTTAAAAATTTCCTGCATGGGCATTTGCAGTCTATCTTCCTAATGCATCAGACTTTGTATTCAGACTTAAGATCTTAAAAATGAAAATGCTGTCAGGTGAGAGAAACAGAAATCTGCTTCTCTTGTGTGTGTGTTTCCTCTGAAGGGCAAACAATTAAACATTTGCCAAGTTTCTTTATATTACAAAAACCTGGTCCTGCTCAAAGAGAAAATCCAAAAGCCTGAATTATGCCTTAACAACAACTACAACAACATTACATTTATAGAGCGCCTTTCACGTCGGGAGGACGTCCCAAAGCGCTGAAAAGTCAGGTGTCAGGGCCCGAGCATGGGGGAGGGGTGCTGTAGGGGTGAGGGAAGGCAGAGAGGTGGGAGGGCGACCAAAGACACGATCGAAGAGAAGGGAGGCAAGGGAGAAAGCAAGGTGAAGGGACCGTGGGATGGAGTTCCAGAGTGTGGGGGCAGAGAGACTGAAATCCCAGGTGACCAAAGTTTTTCAGAGTAATGTAGCACTCCAAACACTGGTACTGGCTTTTGAATTTGTGCCTTTAAATGAAGCCCGGAACTAAATCTTGGCAACTTAAAGTTCCTCTTCAGCTAAAACTATGCTGGGGAAGGTTAATGCTATCCTTTATTTGGAAAAAGTAGCATTGGAAATTAGGTAGCTAGGCTTGATAATTTGTTATATGCATTTGAAAACCAAACTAAAGGTATGACTGACAGCCCCTGAGTTTGTTTTCGTCCCTCCCTCCCTCCCTCCCTGTCTGTCTGTAATTTAAAGAGTCAGAAGAGGCTTGTCTTAGCTTGGACGTCCCCTCATCACTATTTGAAGTTCCACAGCAGGAAATGTGAAAGGGGACTGAAAGATTCCCCAAGGAACCCAATAAGTCTTGTATGAGAAAATGTTAGCAAACTGGAAAGCTTTGCGCATTGCTTCAAAAGAGACGCCAATGAGAATTATCAATGTGGAATTATATTAAATTTTGTGCCTCTTCGGCTGAAAAGCAATCCAATCTGTAACTAAGCAATGAAAATTGACAAAAGTTATATTTATAATAAAGTAAGCTTTACATACATTATGTAAAATTATACTAGCCCCTCCAAAAAGCACAAAATGCATTTAAAGCAAAATCCAAAGTAAATTTTGCTTTACGACAGGACATTGGTTCCTGCAATAAATAGCTCTGAATACTTTTTGCAGGTTTACGCCGGACTCGATACTATAAATACAGAAATAGCTGATGTCTCACACTTCAGCAATCGGTTATCGAATTTAGGAACTGAATTTACAAGTAGAATAAAAATACAAACAATAAAGGAAAAAAAAACACTTGCCAAAATGATCAAATCTTTCCACTGGGACTTACAACTGGACAATACTGAATTATAAGTCTTAATGTATCTATGCTGAGATGTGAGCAGATCTGAAACACAATTTGACCTCCATTTTAATATGGAATAAGATACTGAACTCCTATTTGGGCAAGTAGGCAAGAACAGAACTCTTAATGTTATATACAGACAAAGTCAGAGTGAGGTAAAAAAAACTTAATTTTAAAAAGGATGAAATTTCATCCGTAGATGGAGCCATTTAAAAAAGTTACTGTAAAGACAGAGTTAATCTTGAGTTTTTTTTCAAAAAATGTCTCCACTGCATTACTGTCACAAAGATTGCTTCCATCTGCTGTGTCAGAATGCTAATCATGTTTTTCTGTATACCTTTTATATTAAATCCATAATGCTCATTAGGTTTATTCCGAAAGCAAACATCTACTAATAAACAAGCTCATTTGTGGAACTTGGAACAACCACACAGAATCTAGATCCACAAGTGCCAAAACTATAAAATAATAAAAAAACTACAACTGTTTATTATTTCCCAGTGGTTTAAATAACGGTACAGACAGAAAGAAAGAACAAAAAACCACATGGTCCATCTCTGTTTCTCTTTGGCAGTGCATTAACTTTCCTTTTACAATCTGAGTTCCATTTAGCTGATTTGAAACATACTAATCTCCTCCTATAATATATTCTGGCATTTCACACAAAAGAAAAAATAATTTTGTTCAGATTTTACAATGGTTGTGTTCTTTATTAAGAAAAATAAGTCACTCTATTGTACATAAAACTAGTGCCAACAAGCCTCTGCTACACCAACTATGGATTATTAGCCAAAAGAATCACATTTGACTAAAACCAATATTTATTTCCAACTTTATACTAAGCCTAGGGTTATATATATGATTTATTTATACATTTCCCACACTAAACACAACTGAACTAACTGATCAACTACAAACAATAACTCCATTTTGTAACAGTCCTTTGTATGCCAAAATATCCAACAGAACCTAACTTATTATGTATGGTTCCCACTAAAAAAACATACACTATAATATTGTCATATTCCCATGATATTGCAAGATTGCAGTTGTGCAAACTGAACACTTGGAAGAATTAGAAGTGCTTTTTTTGAAGAATCCCAGTGTTTTAATTAAAGCATATTTTTAACATTTGGTTAAAATAATTCTTCTAGGTTATTGGCATTACAATTAGTGACTGGAAATGGATAGATCGTGAGCGTGACCAAAATTGTTCCATGTGGCCTTTCTTTGAATGTCAGAGTTGAAAACCTTCACATACTGTTTTTCAAATGCTATCAAAAATATGCAATTAATGAAGATTACAAATGTCACAGGAAATTAATATTCACGTTTTAACTATCTTTGCATTTGATATAGCGCTTTATCGAGCCTTCAATACATCGCAAAGAGCTTTACAGAATATACTGTAAGGTAAATTGACTGTATTTTGTGGACCAAAGTTTGTTTGAATACCACACCCTGATGATACATCCTAAAAATACGTAACCTGAAACCAGAATGCAATGCTCTTAACAATGCTGTAAATGTGATGGAATAGCAGAAAAGGGGATATTGCGTAAATTTGTATCTCCACTCCTCTCTGTAAAGGAGTGATCTAGGAACAAAAAGCTGAGATTTATGCAAACAATAACAGCGCAACTGAAATGTTTGTTGCAAGAGGGGGAATTACTGAATTTAGGAAATCATTTCCTTTCAAATTACTGTAAGGATACAGATAGTGATCAGAATGGAATGCGTCTTGAAAACATTCATATTAACATACCTCATGAAAGAAATGCATAGAGAATTGGAACTTTTACAATTACATGCTGAAGGATTATAATCAACAAATAAGTTAATATATGCCATTTGAGATGTTAAGTGGAGCAATTTACTCACCAACCAAATTTGTTGTGCCAAATATTCTGCCATTCTTTTCAAGGATCTCATGCATTCGTAACTGACATACTGCAATGGTTTCATAGTCTGTGCCGAATGTGAATTGCAACTCTAGTTTTACTGTGTTTTTCTGCAAATATTGTAGAAAGAAGTCATCTACTCGGACAATATACTGAGATGTGAAGTCATACACTGGCTGCAGCCCATGCACTACAGGGGTTGACTGTAATTCATAGTCGTAAAATGCAAAGGTGCAAAAGGTGGCAGGTTCTTGTTCACTGAAAGCCTGCAGAGCTTCGGGGGAGAAGATCAATGTGTTGATATGGATCTCAAATAAGTTTTCTCCACGCTCTAAGTGGATAGTTTCATCAAATTCATCAACCTTATCGTCAGCTGTGATTTCTGGTTTGAATTTGAACTGTTTGGTCCCGTAGGCTATGTCTTTGAGTTGGGCTGAAATAGATGAAAACAGATGCAATTTTTCCATATTTTTCATTAAAGCAATAGAGGATAAGATTTTCTCTATGTGGCAAACAGATGGTCTAGGATATAAACACCATTGTTATCAATTTTTTTTACGAAGTTTTTTCAGCAGAGAAGATTGAAAATAGCTCTATAAATTCTTAGAATATTGGTTTTATGCAGGGATTACAATTTGACATTTATTCTGGGATAAATCAGATGAAACTCTGCATACCATAGGCCTTTTTAACACACAGTAGAGACAACTTAATTAAAACTTTCAACAGGAAATGACTGGTTGATGGTCTGCTAATGATATTGCTTTTATAGCACTTTGGGAGCATAGTTAACCCTTTGTAAACCTTGAGCGATATAGCCCTCCAATATGAAGCAATTTAAAAAATGATTTCATGAGCAAAAGTAGATGTAGTTTTGGATTTCTATGGGAGTAAGTGACCAAAACTATGCAGTATGTGTCCATTTAATAAATTGCTGTAAAGTAAGCAGCATTACTGTAGCATCCAGTCATTTATGTGATAACATTTTGTCCTTGTGATACTTTTTAACACTGACTTCCTAAAGGCAGAAAATCAATCTAGGGGAAATCAAGAATCAAACCCGGGGCCCATTCTGGGCACATTTTACAGAGAATCAATCTTAAATTTCACTTCTGGAGCCAACTATATTTTTACACTGAAAGTTGTCTTTTTATAAAAAAGTTTACTCATACCTTCCAATTTTCTGATTCGATCAGCCCTAATGTCGAGCAGTTGTGCGTATTGATCCAGTTTCATCTCATATTCCCGTTTGTTATCTTCCATCTTTCGTGTCACAGTGTCAACCTCACTCTGAAGTTAAAAACCATATGCCAACAATTAAGATAGAATATTGCAAACCTGTGATAACGTATGTACAGGTACACCTGTCAAGTTAATATTTTTGTAAAAAATCATATACTAACACAAACGAGGTTACAAAATGTCACAATTGACTTATCTCTTCAAAACAGTAACATTTTCTTTGTGAATATTCATTTCTTTGCTATTTTTATGGCTTGCCATTTACTGGCACGGAACTCTGCTCGCTGTTAAAAAAAAGCATTTACAGTGTTGCAGATTTCAGTCCAACTACACTCACTTACTGGTTGTAAATGGCTTTGAACTTTTCCTACTACAAATTATATCACTAGTACAAATGATAAGGTCCAGTTTTTAACTGGTATCAGCTGACTTACTGAGGTGTCCATGAAGCGTGAGAAACTGGATAAGTAGAATTAATTGGCAGAATGAATAACTGAAGCTATGTTCAGAACATTCACTGGGAGAAGCTTGTCCTATTAAGAGTTAGACAAGTTTATTTCCAGATCTGTGGTCATTTTTAAATGTGCTACTTTAAATCTTACATCAGTGAGTGAATGTTAGTGAGCAGCTGTACAGATGTGAACATGTTTACATTTTCAGGAAACAAAATTACAATGGAAAGGGGAAAGCTTTGAATCATAAAAGATGAACCAATACGAATATTTAAAGAAAACACGAACCATTTGTATAGGAAGGACGACCCCGTCACCATGTGGCTTTGGGTCTGTTACCTCAGACCCTTATATTAAAATGAAGCATGAAAAGAAATGGGTTCTCAAGGCATCGATAACCTTATTTCCTGCAAATGTATTTCACTGTATCAAATGCAAGGATTATTATTAATGTTATTGTGGTTCCTGTAACTGTTGTACTTTTAAAGCTATTCCTTTACACATAACTAATTTTGTCTACTTCTTAATTTCAGAATGAATGAAAAGAAAGGACAGCCCTTTAGTTCAAATAGATAAAGCAGACTTGAGGAGGTGAATTGTTCCTTGAGTTGGACCACAATGATCTTTTCTGCTCCTGTAAACAGGAGTAGGCCATTCAGCCCCTCGAGCCTGTTCTGCCATTCTATAAGATCATGACTCATCTGTACCTCAAAACCAATAGCCTGCCCTTGTCCCACATTCTTGATACCTTGACCTAACAAATATCTATTCACCTCAGTTTTGAAAATGTGAATTCCTTCGTTCCAATTGTACCAGCTGCTTCATCAATCTGAATGGCTCTTATTCAGTGACAATGCAGGCTTTCCTATTTACTTCCCACTAATGTTAGAAGTTTTGGATCACTGAGTTTCAATATTGCTATTACCATCCTCTGTAAGAGCCCTTTCAAATCACAAAATTAGGTATTTTCATAGCAATGGCAGATTTACCATTTACCAAGATATTTAATATAGGGAATCACTAATGGGATTTTGTAATAAGTCCTAAAATAAATTTACATTTTATCGTGCTTTAAATGGTTTTCTTGATTTTATAAGCTTCAGGATCAAGCGGACTGGGAAGGTAAAAGGGATACAGTAGCCTGCCTTGTATTTAATAACTAAGTCAGTGTAATTTTTTTTCCCCAAAAAGCACTCCTAAGAGTCTGTCTCATTGCAGAATAACTGTCATGCAATTAAATTACTGTCTTCTCAACTACATGTATTTACTGTGCATTCTTACCTACAAAATATACAGTCAACTCACTTTACAGTATATCTTGTGAAGCGCTTCGAGAAGTCTCAAAGACATGGTAAGGCACAATATCAAATGCAAGGATTATTATTTCATAGCAATTATATTTATCATCTTCAAAATGCAGAAGCATTTATTTTATTTTGAATTATTTTGCTGTAATTAGTAATTTAATGTTTTTTCAGTGAGAAGAATGACCATATTTTCTCTTTTTTAAAAATTTCTCTTGTCCAGAATGGCAAGCCAAGCTTTAATTTAAATAGACACGATAATGTTAACCATTAACCTTTTCTATTTAACGCTAGTGCAATCTATTTAAACAAAAATTAAATAAAAATAGTCTTTTAAGATGTTCTGTTCCTCAGACTTGTCAACCTCAGCTCAATCGTTATTTTTGTGCTATTAATCTGTAAAATGCTTCAAATTGGCAGCATATTTAGGGCACTCCCAAATATTTAATTTGCCGTTTTTAGAATGTAATTACTTCCACATTCACCACAATAAGTGGCAATCACACTTCTGAAGCTCTTCTGGCCACAATTTATTATATCTGTCACTGAAAAAGTATGGTCTAGCTAGATGGAAAAATATTGTTGCTTTCTCTCTTTTTTTTCCCCACTTTCAGCACTTTTCCTCCCCTCAATGTTAGTAATTTGTAACATTCAAATGGACAGGGAGCAAAACTGGGTTGCAGTTAATTTGGGGGGGGTTAAATACATTATAAGGTTTGACTAATCTACATACAAAAATATTCTGTTTCTAAACAAGGATGAGGAAACCACGTGGAACTACAGTAAATGATGTAATGGAATTAGACTTCACAGAATCATAGAATATTTACAGCATACAAGGTCATTTGGCCCCTGCTAGTGCTAGCTCCCACACTGCAGCTAACAAGTCTAATCCCATCGCTACTCTTTTCTCATATCCTGTAATATTACTTTTCCTCAAGTACTTATCCAATTACCTTTGAAAAGTCTACCATATTTCTAGCGCCTGCTTGATCTAAATAAATGTTGCACTTTATAGGTTTATGAAAACGTTTTACATCAGTTACTGCAGAAAATATTATTTAATTTCTCAAGTTATTTGCCTGAAATTCGATGTTGTCACTCTCACTCCCCCCACTTTCTCTCCGTAAAACCATCAAAAAGAGAATGGAATTTCTCAGGTGGCCAACTATTCCCCCAGAAAAACATGATTATTCACTTCATAACTGGGACAACTCTTGTGTGCAAATTGACGGTATTTGCCTACAGAATACACATTCACTACAGATATACAAGTTCTGCATTTTCCAAATAAAATAAAATTATAAATAAAGCAAATAGGATTGGCAGCACCCTCCAAGTATATTGTGTACATATCAAAATATTATTCACAACCAGGAAATAGAAGAACACATTTTATGTGAATAAATATTATTGAGGATTACTTGTATAAGGTTTGTAAGGATTAACTGTACCCAAAACCCTAGAAAAGTGAAACAAAATGTCTAGAGTATAAAAATGTTTCAATAATTTTTTTGACGTATTGAATATGGCTTAGAGCCAGAGCGCTTATAGTATTAAATAGTCATCTGCGTGTGTTTCATCTTAGTGAAATAATAATCTGCTGGGGACACCTGCTACATCTTTGTAAAAGACAAAATTACCTGATAGTCCTTATTAATCTTGTACTGCATGATTAACATATTTCTTGTTTTTTCAAGTTCCTGCACAGTTTCTGCATGTCTTGCCTGTAGCTCTCTCATCGAACGCTCCAAATCTTTATTAATGTCATCCTCCAGCTTCTCAAGGAATTCAAGGTTTCCTTTCTTCTGATTATTGCGTACCTAATAACAGTATTAAACACCTGAGACTGATGGAAGCACTCCTACTCCTTAGCAGCTTTCTGCACCACATTGCTAACAACATCACAATTGTCGAACAGCAAAATTGTGCAAGAATTGTGTGATTACAGCTAGATTTGTTTTTATGTATTTCAGTGATTTAGCTGGACAACATTTGTAAGTATGATCCAATACTTAAGTCCCTAATTGGTTACAATTCTATTCTGCACTTTGCTGTTGGAGAAAACTGCATTACTTACAAAACTGCATTACCAAAAGATAATTTCCCACCAATAATAGAGATAAAATATTTATGTAGTTAAGCAAATGTTTCTGGTTGTGGGTTAATTCATTTTTGTTGCAATAATGAAATACGCGCACGTTCCAAATAAATTTAATCTTGCTCTTCTCTCCCTTTGCTCTGCCAAGCTTTCTGACATTTGCATATGCATGAGCAAGCCCCGTTAGCCACTTGAAGGTACTCCAATGAAGCAGCCCTCTTGAAATGCCAGTCACTCCAATCAGGGCATATGAGGGTCAGCTTGTTATTAGACCTCAGAGCAGGCAAGGATTGGAAGAAGGATCAACTTCTTTGCATTACCTTTATGAGCATCAGTGCTTCGCTCAATTCAGCCACATCAATATCACTCTCCTGAAATTAAAATAGTCAATAAAGGGCATTATCAGATGGAAATGAATAATACAGGGATAGCTGAAAATAACATAGTAGATTCTCACCAAATATGACACTTGGCTTGAATATCATGAATAAATAAACTATCACATTTTTGCATTTTTTTCCTTAGATTTTATGATGCATAAAGCCAGGGCACTCATTCCATGCATAAAACATTTCAGCCATTCCATTGTCACATACTGGGAGATATATATTCAGTTCAAGAAAATAACTTACTTTGGTGAAGAACTTCATACGGTCTTTGAGTTCATCCAGCTGTTGCTTGTGTTGTAGATAGTGGAGCTGGAGTTCTTTGTTTTCCTGGGAGAGTCGCTCATTTTGTTCTGAGATTCATCAGACAACAAATGTAAACAACAGCAAGACAAACCCCAAGACAAACAGCAATGTGTTAAAGCAAAATATGTAACAATGACAGTATCTAAAACTGTGTCTCCAGAGGAAAGCAAGAGCAGCCCAGTTATAGTCATGAAGTGCATGCTCTCTATCATTCCTTTTGAGAAACAGTTTCTACATCAAGTTGCCATTTGTTTTTGATATTAGAAATAATACTGATAATTCTAGAGGTTATGATCTTCTATCCCAAACGGTTTAAATCCAGTTCAGTACCTTGTGATAAAGACTCTTAATTTACACGGTTGAGTCCTCCCACCCCTAAAATTAAATAAAATCAGTAGAAAAATAAGGATCTCAGAACCAAGAATGTGAAACATTTGAAAAAAGCACATCATGAGTTTGACTGTCAGTCTAGCTCCGAAGGCAGGATCTCATCTGTGAGTCAGAAGGGTGGGTTCAAGCCCCACTTTGAACTTAGTCTAGGCTTATACTCCAATGTAGTGTGCTGCATTGTGATAAGTACCATCCTTTGAACAAGACATTAAACAGGGCCCGTTTGCCTGCTCAGGCGGATGTAAAAGATCCCATGGTGGTATTCAGAAAGACAAGGTTTGAATTTCTCTCAGTCCTAGCCAACAATGTCCCACATAAAATTGATCATGGCTGTTTCTGGGACAAATTGGCTACCACATTCACCTATAATGTACACAGTTACTATACCTTACAGTAAATCCTGTGAAGTGTTTTGAGACATTCTGACAATGTGATAAAACACTAATATCAAATGGAAGGATTATTTATTTAGCTTCATTGTCTATACCACCCACCATGCAAAATATAGTTCATGGATTATATCCCTTCCTCAATCTTCTCCAACGAAAACAAGTTCAGCTCTGGTTATCTAACTTGGGAGTCCTTGTTGCTCAGTCTTTCATCCCTTTCCAACACAGTGTTCTTTTGAAAGCGAGGTGCCAAAAGTCGCTGAGTGTGAGCAATGTGGTCTGTAAACTTGGCTAACGTCATCTAAGCAAAAAAAATTTGCTCGGCACAAAGTTTCATGGTCAAGATTATTAATTGATTCTAGATGGCAAAATAGGCTGGGTTGCTAGATTTTGATTGATTGATCAGACATGCACTTATGATGAACCAATGTATGGTTACAAGATACTAAGTCTAAAATAGTTTTTTTCCAGCATTCTACACACCTGAATTTGTGAATACAAACAAATTTTATTCCATGCACTGCAATTTAAAAAGATTATCTTGTGCAATGAAGCAGTGACACAAATGATTCACAGGATTTTACTGTAAAGTGTGATGACTGTGTATTTGTGTGTGCAAATGGATGTAACTTACTTTAATTTAAAAAGTTGATAAAATGCAAACCTTAAACCCTTCTACGTACCCATGATAATGACAACTGCAGTACTTTTACTAATAAAAGTGGGATCATTGCTATCTTGGGCAATTTTCTGTGCAGTCTGCATTTTAGTTTGGTGCCCACTTCCTTAACAGACTTTTTTATTTAAAGAATAATATATCATAATTGTTCAGCAGAGACACTACAATTAAAAACATGATACAACTGCAGGGTATTATTTTGCTTACAGTGTAATTCTGGAACGTTCTAACATTTTACAGATGGTCATTTCTTAACTCTTTCTAGACCATCTGACTTCTTCTGCAGTAAGACTTGAACACTCACTCCCAAGATTGTGGCACAATGTATTTTGACTTTCAGTTGCATTCAAACTGCAGTATCTTATACACACTCTATCAAACAGCATAATTCTCATTNAAAAAAATCCACCGGTAGTTCTAGATTTTCCAATGCCTAAAATCATAGATTTGTTGCATTTCCTACCAATCTTAATGTTGATGTAACGTTATTAGCTAAAGATACTTCTGCCATGTCAAACACTTTAAAAGTGGGAGCACAAATTACGCAAAGTTCTGCCTCGCCCCAGTATTGCAGCTGCTTTCATTATGTGTGCTCTTGCTGCCCTGCTGTGCTATGAATTGATCTCCTGTACCCTTGTGAGCCACTAGAAGCTTAATCATTGCGACTAATTATAGTTCACATAATAAGCCACATAAAAATATTAAAGGTTTTTGTGTTCATTTCCTCATCAGTGCGGGATTTTTGGAGTGCTAAGGATAAAACATTTTTCCAATACACCAAGCCATATTTTATATGACCACTGTGAAAAGACCTTTCCAATGGCACAGTGAGTAAAGGCACTGCCTGTTGTACCACTGAATCAAAGAGAGTGACCAGAAGGTCACAGGTTCAAATCCTCGTCTGTGCTGAGTTAGTTGATTTCACCAGGGCCAGTAGGAGGGATCCAACAAGTGACCTCACTGCTCCCTATCTTAGGTGGATGAGAGGCAGGCGGGGAATCAACCAAAGTTCCTGCTCCTGACCTCTGTCCTAATCTACAAGAAACTTTGTGCAATTGCAGGATGGATGGGGCAAAAATGGCACAAAATCCTTCCGAAAGTGATGAGATTTTCTAATGGTTAATAAATGTACCACAACAAGATTACATTTGTATAGCGCCTTTCACATTGGGAGGACGTCCCAAGGCGCTGGGTGGTAAGAATTTGTAAGGTTGGCAAACCTACTGAAATTTGGAAAATCACCAGCTCATCTTACCTATTTGAATTAGTCTCATTTACCTCCAAGAAGCAACAGTCTAGAGCAATTCTAAGTAATATAAAAGACTTCCTTATTTGATCCAGTTCACATAAAAACTTTGGGGATCGAGGCAAAATAACTGCTGCATATTGCTGATTCTTAATAATTATTTTATAATAAAGGTTTAAAGCAGCCTAACATCTCAAGCCTAGAATATATTACTTGGTGAACGTACCTGACTCCAAACTATAAAATTATCATCAGGTCTCAGCATTGACTGCCGGTCGTGAGATACATCCTGTCAGCTCTTGGCCAGGCCACTGGATGGAGCACTGCTCTGATAGAAACCAGTATTTTGTGTGCTAATAACTATATCAATTTCAGTGGGGAATAAAAAGATAATGCAGACCAACCCACTTTATCTTCTAATAGAGATGGCTTTCGGCTATGTAAATGGTTTAAGATTAGAAAATGACGACTACAACAACAGTATATATTTCTGTAGTGCCTTTCATATCGGGAGAACTTCTTAAAGTGCTTCACACAACTGACTGGGAGCCCGAGCTGGAATGGGGTGGGTGGGAAAGGTGGCTGAAATCACAGTTGAAAAAATAGATCTTATGGTGGGTTTTGAAGATGGAGAAGGTAAGTCAGGGAACTCCAGGATAGAGTTCCAGAAAGAGGGGGCAAAGTGTCTGAAAGCCAAGGGGTTCTCAAAGCATTGATGGGGACAAAAATCAGAGAGACATTTTAGAAATAATTTAACAATCACCATTAATGTTTTTCATATTGCTGATTAAAAAAAATGATGCAACAATGTTCTTTTCACAATTCTACCATATTTACCACTTTGATGGTTTAATATTTCAACCACCAAAATGCGCATTGCTCTCCAACTATCAATAAATGCCACGACTTAAATTAATGCTTCCAGCAGTAAAGCAATATGGAGTAGAAACCCCAATTTAAATTTCTTTGGGGAGAAATTCCACCTGGGTCTCGATTTACTTTATTTAAGTAGCATTTCTGAGATCCAGAATTTATTAAATTGTTGAATTCAGTCTCAACTTTGAAGACCTTTTTTTCTGTAAGTTCTTAAAAGAAATGAAAAAACAAAAAATGATTTCAAAATTAAGGTAGTATTTAAGAATTTGCCAAATTCTGGATGCTATGAAATGCTAAGAAAATAGAGTAAGTCTAGACCTAAGTAGAATTTCTACTTACTTGTCTCTGTTTATATAAACCACTCTTTATTACATTGGTCAGATAATGTTAAAACAAAGCAGGATCTGATATTGCAAAATCATGTGTGTGTAGTACTAATTAAAGATCTGGTCAAACTTCCAATGGGCATCCCATGATGTTAAAAGGATCATTGGGGGAGGAACCACAACTTATTTGTACTGGTGAGTTTATACTACTCAATCCCATTTTAAACTGTATTTTCGACTGCCATTCACCACAAAAATGTGCACCATAAACACAACATAAATGGTTGTGAATTGTCCAATAATCATCAGCTTTGGGGGCTGAAAACTAGAGCCATATGTTGATAGAAACGTGAAATACAAAATGAAAAGAAATGCAAGCAATGGGATAAAAAAAAAAGCTACGGTTTATTTGTCCAGGTTGTCTGCTGGATGCATGGTGCATGTATATATCAGGGAGAACAAGATTGGGATCAACCCTCAGGGGTGGATAGGTTATTTATTTTTTGTGGCTATTCTCCGCATTTTTTCTAACAATGACTTACCACAAAAAAATTTTAATGAAAATTATTTTTTTAATCCATGTAGGCTGGATGTCATTGAGAGCTACTCAGCTGTATTGCTATTTTGTTTTACTGTTAGAAAAATGAGTACCCAAAAAACGGAAAGTTATATCAGGATTGCGAATGTACTATTAAATTCAGATCCTGCAGGCTTCACTTGTCTCACCAGCTAAAATACCTCTTTCCAGTTTGATTTTGTCCAAGATCTCATTTTTGTCAGCCAGGTCTGATTTCAGTGCGGTCTCGAGCTGTGCAATCTGTAGCTTCAGCTGTTGTTCCTTCAACTTCCACTGTTGTTCGTGTGTCATGTCAAAGGCACTGTAACCCAACATGTGGCATGTGAAGAACTATTGGAAGTAATCCTCCACAGAGAATAACAATTTAAAAAAAAGCCTTAGTGGCAGAGACTGCTGTCATCATGTCTCAGGAATTAAGCAAACATATGCTGGTCTGCTGCTGTTGAAACCAAGGCGCCTTGCTCAGGCTGCGGTTAGATCACATGAAAGGATTTGTGGGATGAGCAAAGGCACTGGCCTTAATTTAGAGATCCATGGCCAGCAAAAAAAAAGCTGGCATAACTCAGATCTGTGGGACAAGGAAAGGAACTCAGCTGCACACTCCAGTGGAATACATTGGTCCAAATCACCCAACATCATGGGAATAACAAAACCAGTCTTTCCGCATACAAACCCCAATATTCCCTCAATGTAAATAACCCAAACTACCCACCTGGTTGCTTTCAGAGGCTGGCGGAGGATGCAGTACTAAAGAACAGCTGCTGGTTCAAAGGAAATTGAACCACAAAGCAATAGCATTTTTAATGCCTCAAACATTGTGTCAGTGAATGACTGCAACCAGTGCACAAAGTGAATATTTATCCCACTAAGATGGAGCAGATGGAGAAGTTTTGCTTAAAATGAAACTAGAAAATAAACTAAAAGACTGAAGAAAATGGAAGATCAATTGCAAAAATAATCACAGGTTAAACAGAATCTGAATCTGAATTTTTGCATGAATGTGAAATCAGGAGGGAGCAGTAAAATAACAAGAATCAGAATTTTAAAAGGGAGATATACTGCCCTTAACACTCAGTTTGCTAGTTGAACTAAAAAGGAATGGGCGGAATACCATTTAACAAGTTATGCATGTCAATTAAGAAATAATAATGCGAGCATTCAATATAAATGTAAATATAGAAAGTAAATGAATACTGAATTATGCTTTGGGATATGTTTCATCCTGAAAAAAACAGGAAAATGAGATTTAGAAGAGCATTCAGACCCAACAGCAAGCACCACAAGAATGTCAGCCCCTCAAGTCAGCATTTCATGGATAAGTCCCTTCTTAACCGAGTAAATGGTTTCAATTTGACTAAATCCAAAGAAATCATTTTATATTAAAAGTTAAAGGGGAATTCTACTCCATTTAGGAAAGGGACACGATATAGAAGTTTACATACAAATAAAATCCTCTGCCAAATACAGTATTTTAAATTGGACTCTGTTGTAGTGAGATTTTGCCTCTTCTGCAATATAGCATCTATGGGTAAAATTCCCTTCTTACAACTTTTGTAGCGTATTCTGGATAAAACCAAAGAAATGCAGCCGAGAGGGAGGCCATTTGATCCATCACATCTATGCTTTTGCTAGCTCCTTCCCTGGATCTAGAATACCAAAACACTGAAAACAAGTTACAATAATAAAAAAAACAGACTAAGAAGAGAAAAGAAGAGAAAGGAGTGGTAGTGCAAGTTAAGAGAATTATTTAAAATAGAATTATTGGCAATTGCGCTTCTTTAGAGGGTAAGGATTAATTTTACAGAAATAAAAACAAACGATATCCGAGCAACTCCATTCTTTTCTGACATTTGAGAGTTGCTGGCCTCAGAGATCTTGTGGTACAGTGATGGATTTCCAGCCTGAGCTCAAACTAAACCCACTCCCCTCCCATCTAAAGTCTGCTCTTATTGATTGAGTTTTGCCTTTTCTCTTCTTTTCCAGACCAATGGATCTCACAGGGAGGTTTAACCTGATAGTTTTGGGGATACTAAAGTGTTTACATCTTGACTTCTTCCATTTCCGCTTTGAGCTGCAAGAAATAAAAGCAACAGCAGGTAGAAAATGCAAAGGAGAAAATAAAGTTAAAAAATAAAAGAATGGGAAAGAAGAGAAAATAGAAAGGAAGCAGTGATGACAGGGTAAGGTCAGATCCTTTTTTAAAAAATAATACAATCTTGCTTTCTTAGTGGGTTAAAAAAATTAATTAATTTATAGCAACAATTAATTTTACAGCAATAAAACTAATCTAATATTTGAGCAGCTTAATGCTTAATCTCAGCAGGGTTTTCACCTTCACAGTGAGTGAGCTGAACATGTACTGAACTGAATGACACAGTCGGGATTCTAAGGATTAATTGTCAGGACCCCCCCCCCCACCACCACCACCATTCTGCAGGAGCACGCCTAAAGAGAAATCTATAGTTCAGACTATCAGTACCTTTCCTCTCTTACATGGAAATTTAAGGCAGTGGTGAAGACTCAAAGGGAAACGTTGGGGAATATCATGGGTAAGATCAAAATTCCATTGAATGGGTTACTGGTAACGCATTAACAATTGGTTCATCTGGCACAGCAAGGAGTATGTTTGGTCCCACACAATGAAACTAAATAATCAGTTCATCATCTAAGTATTTATGAAAATAGATGCTTACGACACCAAGGTTCTCATTAATAAATGCAAACTTATTAGCAACACACAGTTAAAACCAATGACCAAAATAATATTTGTTAATAAATAACAGGATATAAAACTGGGAGTGAACAGGAATCGATGATGGGGTGCTTTGGAAATGTCTTCTATTTGTGGAAAAACAAGATCCGTAATACATTAAAGACAGTAACATTGTGCATTGGTATACCTGTTAAATAATTTGTCATAATTCTCCTTCAAAAGATCTTTTTCCTTTTGTAGATCAGTGACCCTTTCTTGTAGCTGATCAAAAAGAAAAGGATGTCAATGTACAGTCCACAAGGTTGTATGCTATAAGCCTCCATTGGCTTCCCACTTTAACATCTTAAGTTGTTCATTTGTGATTGTGGCTTATTTATGCTACGTCTATACTTCACTTTTGCCAGGATGTTACTGTGATTTTGGCAGCGATTTGTCACCAAACATACAGCATAAATAGTGGGCTGGGCAATACACTTTACGCTGGAAACCCGAGCTGGAGCCAGCTACAAATGTGGTGGGTGCAAATTACAAAGGGGAAAAAAGATGTGTGTGATAGTTACTAAAAGTATAGTCATGACATTCAGAGCCAAGTTAACTTTATCTAATTCTGTACTGTAACTTTGCTTAGTGCAAAATGTATATGCAATATTAAAACCCAAGTAAGGCATTCTTGTCTATGCTAGCAGTGCCTCTTTATCAGACAAAGCTAATGAAATCACCTGTCTCTCTAGATTAGGATTTCAGTGTTCCAATGTTGTGATTTTACTTGGATTTAACTATAATTAGCAGAATGGAGAGGAAGTTAAAAGCTGTGCTCGAATCTCTAGGTTCAGAATCCGGTTACAAACCATTCAAAAGATTTGCTTTTGTGGTTTATGATGTGTTCGGAACCCAAAGGCCGAATTAACCACTTGTAACTTCCTCTGCGATATTACTTCATACAATGTTCACTATCTTCTGATGAGTAACAAAATATTTATTTTCAATGAAAAAAGTGTTNAAAAAAAGCCACCTCTTCTGTTATTCTTCTAGAAAAAGAGGCTGAGTGCAGTTGTTTTTCAAGGCAGAGGCATTTACAACGTTCTTCTTTCAGTTGTGTGTTCAGTTCATCCACTTTATTCATAAAGGCATCATGACTGGCTTTCATAGTTCTCTGGTTCTACAAGACAATACAACAAACAATAGTGTACTGCTTCCACATCTAAACACATCCTACAAACATGTTCAGTTTAATAATCCTTGCATTTGCCTACAAATATGCAGTCACTACATTCTATAGTATTTCATCCACAAATTACACAGGCAATCCACTTTAAAGTATATTCTATGAAGTGCTTCGAGAAGTTTCAATGATGTGATAAGGCACTATATCAAATGCAAAGATTATTATTATTATTATTAAGCACTTTGAAACATTTTGAGGATGTGATAAAATGTTTTATTAAATGCAAAGCTTATTAAATGTTCACTATATTTTACAGTTAACAATGTTAGTTAAATATTATACAGGCAATTTCAGTTAAGATTATGAGCTTGCGATGAGATATCAATAAGCTTATAATAAGTCTTTAGTGGAATCCTGTTTTTGCATAATTTTATTTGCATTCGATACTTAAATCAAAAGCCATCACTTATTGAAGGTCTGAGTCTAACCAATGGTACACAAGTGAAAAAAACTGAATCCCAACTTTTTTTATTGTTTATTGAAAAATCCTATGGAAATAATCACAATTTGTTTTAATAAAAGTGTTTAAATTCCCTTGAGTTACTGCTGCCTGCTGTAGATTTGCATTGGTAAATCAGAGGTACTGTTACAGGTGTACTTCAACCTATTTGTGGAGTCCTGTAGCTCAGTGGTTAAGCACTCGCTTTGCAAGCTAGAGACCTGAGTTCAATTCCAGGCAGGGCGAAACCTTGGGCAAGTTTCCTTACTCCACACGCCTAATAATAATCCCTCCAAAACCAAAAACAATAATAAATTGGTCATTTTCAATCCATGACTGTTTGTGGGACATTGCTGTGCGCAATTGGCTGCCGCGTTCGCCCACAAATATACAGTCAATTCACTTTACAGTGTGTTCTGTGAAGCGCTTTGGGACATCCTCCTGACGTGAAAAGCGCTATATCAAATGCAAGGATTATTATTATTATTATTATTATTAGATGGTACCGTTGCTCATTTTGTAGACTTCAAACTACACTTAGAGAGCCTGTCAAAGAGACAAGCTCTAGGATATCTGAATTAGATTGGTCATAGCATCTGCAGTTCCAGAGAGGAACCTTACAGCAACATAGCAGAACCACTTGGGTTCATTATAATGATTGCCAGTCAGCACAATTGGGATGTGTATCCCAACATTTATTCACCAAAAAGCTTGCAGAAAACTGGCGGACTCCATTGTGGCACACCACACTTCAAATCAGAATTCCTGTGTTCCACAGTTAAATTTGCATGTATGCTAGGAAACAATTACTGCTTCTAGTCCTTGAACTCTCACCTCTTGAATTTGCAAAAGCTTTCCCTCCATGACAGTAAATGCAGTTGCTTTCTCTGCAAACTGTTTCTGTAGCCTTATCATCTCCACATTGTCTCGGATTGCTATTCTGTAGTTTAAAGAAAATAAAATGTATATAATGCACAATTTCACAAACATACTGAACCAAGACCTGCTGTTATCACCTGCTCATGCCCTCTTTGGCCACAAGTTTGCTGCTAATACTATTTACCCAATATATTTGCTTTGTTAAAGAGGTAATATTTCCCTAAAATGGTTAAAAAGAATAATTCCACTGTCTGCATTAGTTGAACTGAATATAAAATACCTAATACAATAACAGGAAAATATTATGCTAATGCATGCATCCTGATAAGAGTGTTCATAACCCTGGTTAGTACTGTGGCCGGTTTGTATTTTGTATGGTGATCCATTAGCCGCACAGTTTCCATCTACGCCACAAGCTCGTTCACAGTTAGTACAGAGAACTAGTATTCTACCATAGCTCCATCACACTCTACTACCAGGATTCGTAGATTCGTGGCCTTCAAACTCCACTTAGAGAGTCTGTCAAAGAGACAAGCTCTAGGTATCTGAATTGACTCGTCACAGCATCTACAATTCCAGAGAGGAACCTTACAGCAAAATAGCAGAACCACTTGGGTTCGCTTATGATTGCCAGTCAGCGCAATTGGGTTGGGTATCCCAACATTTATTTACCAAAAAGTTTGCAGAGAAAACTGTCTGACTCCATTGTGACACACCGCACTTCAAATCAGAATTCCTGTGTTCCACAGTTAAATTTGCATGCATTTTATTAAATTAGTCTCATATTGAATTCTTATTAGCAAACTTCCAGCAAGTACCCTGGTGCCAGTGTTGAACTGCAACTACTTGGTACTCATTTAATGTACAGGAATAATGTTATATTATACTGTATATAGCATATATTGTAAATACACACATTGTATCCATTTAGATTTGAGTGCCCTTATTATTAATTGTACTCAATGAAATGTTTTTTTTTAAAAAAGCAGCTGGTCTTACGGAGACCATTTTCAAGAATTTAACAATTCCTGAAGAATTTGTGTGTTTTTTTTTATTCAGCACATCTATATTCCCAATAAGGTGACATTTTAGTTCATCTTTGTGTGTAAAATGTCACAGAGAAAAATATGCCACTGCACAAGCACTATCTGACATTACTTGTTCTAAGCAAGATTGGTTTACAATCAAAATCAGTCTGAAGTTATTACATGAGTAATGATTTCACGCTGCCACTGGACGTACTATGAAAAGAAGCTACAAAGCACTTTCTCTATGGTAAGCCACGAGAGACACTACACAGGGAACATATGAATTGAATCTACTATACTTAGAACGGAGAGCAGTGAGAACAATTACTGCACGACCGCTGGGTTAATCATATTCTCAAAACCATAACTTGTTAGTACTATATTTGCACAGTCTTGATTACGGAAAGCGTAGAATCATACAATTAGACATTAACAGATGAGTCCAGAATGTAGTAGACGTACAAGCTGCTTACTTTACAGTTATAAAATATAGTCTTTAACTAATGATGTATTATGCAGAGCATATGCACAAATCACAGTTCTGTGCTCGAAGTTGGACCGCAACAACGGAAAAAACATGACTTTAATAAAGGCAAGCAACATTTTGACTTATGCTTCAAAGCATTTTGGAGCTTTGGATCCCCACCAGTTTTTATGAGAAAGCCAAACCAAAGTGGTCAAATAAGTACAAAACAACAAGTTTAAATTAGACTTGCTGGTACTGTAAAAGATATTTGGCATCAATGTCACACTTTAAAAGTTATCACAAATAAAACAACTGAGTACATTCCTTGGGAGTCAGCACTTCAGTAATCCATTGCAAACAGCAAATCTATGATCTGCTTCTCTCTGATGTCCCGATATGGTTCAGTTTTTATGGCAATACCCAAACCAGATTAACTCTTAAACTGTCAGGAGGTTCAGCATTATTCTTGGGAGGGGCAACTTTGCAAATTTTCAAGTCACCTTAGAAAATTCTGAAACAAGCAACATTCAAGAAACAAGGTTACTCCAGTCTCAGGGATATATTTATTACAGTAATTTTAGCCCTAAAGATGTATTAGGAGTAGGAATTTTCTTTCAGGTTTCTTAAGATCTGCAAAATTAAGCCCATTATCAATCTTATACCTGCTAAATAATGTTCATTACACTTCACTTGGTGCTGGATGTGAAACTGAATGATTCCCCTTCCCCCATCATGGATACCCACAAAATCAAAAGAATAATTTGGATGAAGAAGGCTCTTTGACCCATCTGATCTCATCCCTCTGATTGTCTACGCTACCATCATTCCATGACAACATCAAGCTGCTTTTAAAAAGCAAGTCCAGTGTCCTGGCCATCATTCAACATCCACCCTTCCTCCACCAGATCAAAAGATGGAATGGTGGGCTATCGATGTCTCTGCAACTACCATGACCAACAGAGATGATGCTTATATTAGACTAAACACGTCTCTGCCTTTCCTCCGTTACATTAAAGCCATCTTAAGACTTATCTTTTCGTCTAAGCTTTTGGTCGCCCTGCTCTACTACTTGGGCTCCCAATTAGCTGTGTGAGGAATTCTGAAATATCCTCCTGATGTGAAAAGAACTGTAGTCATAAATTCTTGTTATTTACCTTAGATCATATTTGGTCCCCTAAAGAAGGAATGACAGCACTTTCATTTTACCTCTGTCCTGTTGCTTGATGCTCTCTGAGCTGAAGAAGAGACTCCTCATATCCTTGCTCTTTCTTTTTTATCTGCTCTCTGAGTATCTCTGCAGATTGTTCCATCTCTTCCATCTGTGTCTTGTAGGACTCAATCACATTTTCCCTAAAGATCACATGAGAGAGCATTAATGAATGTTTCAGTTAGCCGATGCTGATCAATACTTTGCCTGTAATGTGAATATTGTGAAGACAGCTGTCAGTTTCATCAAAACATATTTAAGTTGTCTAATGTGTCATTCATAAGTTCAGTTTTTACTTTAACCACTCGGTATGGAAATCAACACCTTGTCTCAACTTCTGTCTACATAAAAGAACGCAGAGTTATCAGTCTCATTTGAATTTGTCTTTCAAGCGATAGTTCTCATGCTAAAGAAAACTTTTTTTCTAATGAGTATTAAAATAAATTTGGCACAACTTCCAGTTAGAAGCCCGTTCTTTGCCAAATTCGAATTTGTTCTATATCTTTAAGAATTTATTAAATATGCATTCCAACAGACACATTAAAGGTTTTATACATATTATAAAAATAGTTTATAATTGATGTACTGAAAATAAATGCTTTCCTTAAAAGTAAGTCAAGATCTCTGTGTAAATTTAACATTTCATTTAAGTACCAATTGCTTCAAAAATTACTGTATGAATATTTTATACATATTGATGCTTTTCCTTTTTACTTGAAGCCAGTGGTCTTACAATTTCAAGGATTTATTTGTGAAAACTGGTCATACTGAGCATCACAGCAACTGCATGTATACACTCATAATAGCCTTTTCATGACATCAGTAATATTTCGGGTTCAAAGTAAAAAAAACGAACCAGATAACAATTCAAATTTTTCCAGGAAATGCTTGAGTCAAAGTAATGGCTTCATACATTTTTCATATTCTATTTTACATTATTCAGCATTAAAAATTTACAGAAATAATTTTGGTCGATGTTGCAGCACGAAAATGTTGAACGCTGCAAAGTACGTGGAGCTCTGAAAGAGACTGAACTGTTGGTACATTTTACTGACAAAATTAATGCCTACTGTTCGACGTCTATTTTTGATCTTGAACTAAAAACGTTTCATTTTGGCCCGTGTGACATCACCGGAGAAACTGAAGCCCAGAATATACTGAACCCAATAGAGTGGAGAGAGCTGTATGAATGAAGGTGGTATCCACATATCCACAATTAAAAACTACCAATAAAACTGATGATCATTGCATGTGCTTTCAAAGCTGAAAACCACACTGCCTTTTCTACATTAATGAGATATTTGGATGGTTTCCAAAACTAATGTTCTAATTAGTAACAACACTTAACCATTGAACAATAAGCTTCCACAACATGCAACATATCCTATATCAAGGATTTTACATTGAACATATGATAAAAGCAGACAGAACTGAAAATCCACAGCAGCTCTATCTCTGTCTTTGAGATGCTGATGGATAGACAGTCTGTGCATTTCCAGCATAGTCTATTTTTATTTCATATTTTCAGCATCTGAGATTTTTCTTCTCATCTTTACACAATGCTATCATGTTGTGTCTGGATAAGGCATACATCAAGTCGTGTAACATCACAGGATGTTTCTATCGCAACTGACTGCAATTCCACATGTACAGTTAATTCTACTTATTCATAGTTACGATGCACAATATCACCTGCTTAACCTGTATGTAGCTAATAAAGTAATTGTATTTTGAGGAGATCATGTAATTATTTTCTAGTTTTCATTAGTAATTATCGCCCCTTGTTCCATGGACTATGATGTTTCACTTGGGTAAATCGTCATTCCTTCTGTGTAACTCTAGGCAGCAAGTATTGTCAGTCTGCTCAGTTCTAGACAGGGAAGTGGGGTAGGGATGAGGTAGCTACCATAACCTGTTCAATGAATACATATGTTCTTTTGCAGCAGAAAGTCAATGGATAGTGATCACAACTGGGAAGCCTGGCTGAGTGTTCCTCTCCTCAGCCTGAGGACTATGAGGTCAATAGGAGATACTGCTACCCCAGCTGACTTCAACTAATTCAGTATTGAGGAGAGATTCAATCTGGGGCCTTCTTGCTCTTTGTGGCTTTGAACTACACCACTGTGGATTTACGCTCTGAACTATATTGGGTTGTCACTTTAAAATCCATTGTCAGCCATATTATAATGAATGTATGCCTTTCATGTTGGAAGGACGTCTCAATGCACCTCACACTGCTCACTGGGGGGCAGGGGGTTTGCGTGAAAAAAATGGCGAAAAGATAGGTCTTTAGGTGAGTTCTGAATGTGGGGAGGGAGTGCAGGATGGAGTTACACCATCCATGGCAGAATGGCTGAAAGACATTAATTCTAATTAAATTAATCACACAGGATTTAAACTTAAAACACACTGTTTGAATCTTATATTGTGCGTCTCAGTGAAGTAATATTTTGCAGATTTAATGTTTCGCCCACAAAATATAGTCAATTCACTTTACAGTATATTCTATGAAGCGCTTTGAGTCATCTGAACGACAGGATAAGGCGCTATATCAAATACAAGAATTATTATCATTATTTCCTGTGATGTTGCTTATGCTTCTTGAACACTGCAGAATGTGCTTTGGTACTCAAATTGGAGTGACAGGAATCAGGTTTAGGTTCCATAATTGCAAAATGTAAAATTAAACAACTAAGTAAATTCTAAAAACAAACAAATACAGGAAAACGAATCTGATTTCATTCAGACACCTGATCTCTACCCAATGAAGTGGAAACATTTTGCCTCAGTACCCAAAGCTCTGGTGCCACAAGATAGCTAAGCAATAATTAATAATAATTAATTGTTATGAGTGATTTTATTTTGATAACACTCACTACTGGTCCTATCACTATTATACATTTAGATATAACTTTTGTTTTAAAAAAAGGATTTACCATTTTTTGATTATTACATTTCAGTAGGTTTCCTGTTAATGTGAACATTGTCACAGACGAATAAACCAACTAACTACTCAACCAAAGGATATTATGACATAGTAAATATCGACAGTGATGTGCCTAGGAGGAACCAATTGGAAAGCAGAAAAAAACATCCACACACCAACACAATCTTTTTAATTAACGATAAATGTGCTGCTTCATTTCACTTTTCCCCTTCTATCCATTCCCCTATTGGGGTATGGTTCTATGGATACTCATCACCCTGCCTTGCCTCACCCAAGCCACTATTATTTATGTGCAAGTTTGACATTGACTGCTAGCAATTTATTGAACGGATAGGAAAGGGTGGTGGGGGGGCATCACCGCCAAGCCTGATCCTATCCTTTAACAACATTGACACGTATACATCTTCAGTGGATGGATATTCCTTGGTAGCAATCAGGGGAACATACCATAGTTGATTTTCTCTTTCCTTAGCCTGAATACTGTGGCCAATTGTAGAATTTCTATTGTTGCCTTAGCTAAGATAACTCATCACTTTTGAGGATTAAACCTAGGGATCTTCCTTGTCTGACTGGCTTAGCTAATCACCAGATAGACCTATCATTCCATTATTGTCGTACTTTTATTAACATACGTGTAATACCGCAAGATAAATGTTGGTACCATCCTTCTATATCATTATGCTGCACAATGATGCATTAATAAATCACCAGATTAAGTACCAACTGTAAACTAATTGACCTAATGCGATCCCATGGATATTCTCCAAATCATATTGGTCATTTGATGATATAATTTTTTTAAAAAATGATTGAACTGAAATGCAGTAACTTTGGAGTGAGAGAAATAAATGATCATGTCTCTAATTCAATACAAATGCAATTAAGTGCTTTATAATAATCTCAGGTAGCTTGCTATGCAATAAAGTGAAACTTGATAAGCATTAAGGATACCCTTTTGAACCGAGAGATCTTTGAATATCAAATCTTAAAAATAGATATTGAAAATAAAATATCCCAACTATCCCAACTATTTTTCGGGATTCTTAGGGAAGAGAAGAGGAAATAAAAGAGCTTCATCTGAAATCTGCAGTTGCTTGAGGAGTGAATAGTGCTTTACGTGCTTACAAGTACACAATTATTTCCCTGGGAACTATACTCGATCAGTTTGATACTGATGGTTGCAGAATGATTTCAGATAACTAGAAGTGCCAAATTATAATAATAATTGTTGCATTTGATACAGCGCCGTATTCCATCTTCGGGATGTCTCAAAGCAATTCACAGCGATTACTATAAAGTGAATTGACCGTATATTTTGTGGGTGAAATTATTGGGGTTTTTTTTTTACTCTTATTATTTCAAGTTCTTAGTTCTTTATATTAATTTAGTAATTCTAGCAATAAGATAGAAATGCAGATTAATAACAGAATATCTCAGTTTTTTTTAAGGTCACAGATTCTGCAGGAAACCAAAATGAGAATATTCAGAGATGGAAATTGAGAACTTTAACACATGGTATGTGGTATAACTGTGGTAAAGCCAAGAAATCTAAAATCATTAAATAGAATAACTCTACTGTGATGAAGATAAGAAAGAACAAGTGTGCATTATGTCTGTAAGGTGAGAAGACAGCAAAATGACAAAAACGTGGAATTGCTGCAATCTTTCAAAAACACATCATTACATTGGAAAAGGTGCTAGGGAATACATGAGAGAAGACGGAGGGAAAGCAATACAGAAGATTCCTAGTTGGATTAAAAACAGTTATTACATTTGAGGAAAAAGATTAAAATGCAATATGAATCAGATTTCTAGAATAATGGGGAGCGGGGGAATTAGACAAAGTGGAGGTTAATTCAATTAAATCCAGAATATGGAAGGAGCAACATCTCAATATCAGGAAATTAGAAACCAAACAGGAAATAAGACAGAACTTCCATCTTAGAGCTCTTAACTTGTCATGTAAATATTTATGTAGAAGAATGAATACTTTCATTATTCACAACCTATGTGGAGTGCTTTGTCCAATCTTTCAAATGGAATCTCCATTAATTTCTGCTGCGAGAGAATCAATTAATCTTAAAAGATTAAAAATTAAGAATGATAATAAACTATCACACCAGTCTAATCTATTACTTAGAAAATTGTATTATTTTACATTTACATCAAGCAAAACTTTTGATGAAAGATTTTTTTTGTCCAATGTGAACAGTATTAATCACAAATCAAAAATTAGGTAGATTTTCAATCTTAACTATATTCAGAAATTACGTTATTGGAGGGTTTTATATTCAATATTAATAAAGATTGGCAAAGTACTGTCTAACTGGGAAAATTAAATGCTAAAGGGTTTAAATAATTCTATACAAAAGTCACTTATTAAAAAATGCGTTTAGCTGCTTTTTAAATCTTATTCATTATTTACATATGTTCTTAACATATTGATCTGAATGCTTTATAGGTCTATTCTTCCAGAGTCAAATTCAATGGAGCAAGAATAATTTCCCATGTATACGTATGCACTTTAAAATACAACTTTAAGCACATTCTAACAGGTTGAATAAAGCAGGAAAGTAAATGAATCTTACAGATTTCGTATTTCAGCTCGGGCTTCTTCAAGTAAGCTGTGTCCATATCTAGGCTGTATGGTTTGGGTATACTTTGCTGCTGGCTCTGGATCTTGAACTCTGATCCCTAACAAAAAGCAAACAAAGATTAAAAAGACATGGGAACTAGGTTATCTTAAATATTAGAATTTGTTTTGTGGTGTCTCTGCATTAGGTGTACGATTTGCATATGAAGTGAGATTGTGCAGTCTCAACTCTGTTCCTAGTTTATGCCCACGGTACAAATTATCCCCCAAATTTAATAGAAATGGAAACAGTCACACCTGTGCAGGAGAGATGCTCTTTCAAGAATTGGTGCAAATTACAGATAGTTTTATTCTGTATCTAACCATATTCTCCAAGAGCTGGGAGAGGTTAGTGCTAACACTGGGTTTCTGAAATGGGAAAACATAAAAAAACCTAATAAATTTCCAGTTAATGACCCTATCCTATCTTAACTGAGCATAATTCAAGTCCCTTATTTTTTGAACAGTCAGTTATTAAGAAGGCTTTGATGCTTTCTTAAAACAAAATAGTCATTAATTGTAGAATATCTTAGTGCTTTTTCTGTACATGGGTATTCGTCCCTGGTTCTTCACACTTTAATCTTCAATTATCTTCTGAAGGTTTTAATTTATATATATGTATCATTTCCAGGTTAATGAAAGTTTCAGATCCCATTTTATAAGATAAAAATACACCAAACTTTATATTGGAAAGATTGCAATAAAGTATCACCCATTTTATCTTAATTGAACAGTAAAAGCTTTCTGACACGTGAACCCAAGCCATCAGATCCTCATAATAACAAAACATTTTTTCCACATTACGTTTTGCATGTTTTTTTAACGTGCCTGTTTGGACCTTACTACTTCCCTGGTGTGAGAATGCTGAGAATAAAGTTGCACATAGAACTGATCGTGTTACCATCTGCTAATCTGGAAACACTCAACTTCTACTTTGGTTTCTTGAGTGAGTAAAAAGGTCAAGTGCAATTGGCACTGAGATATAAAGAGTATGAATATTTTGTGATCAGTCTCTCATCAGCACTATAGAAGAAATCTGTTCTCATCTATCTCAGTTGATAATCGGAACAATATTTTAGGTGAAATAAAGAAAGTGGAGCAGGCATACTCCAATTCTATTTTTAAAAATGTTCTGTTGGATTATCCTTAAACTGTTGAAATTTTTTATTTGGTTTAAGGTATAAATCTCTGTGTAGTCAATTTAGGATTAAATTCTCAAAAAAAAGTCATTCAAATAAGAAGTGAAAATAGGATGAGGTTTTACTTTCAGACACTGTAGTTACAACAATATTAACTTCTTCTCATGGAGACATGGAGTAGACTGGAGCCCGCTGAACGGATTTAATGTAACAGTATTAATCAATAATGCCTTCCATTCAACATATCGTTTGAAAAACATGTCCAACTTGGCTGTTTCAATACCTCTTTTAAGATTCTCCTGCATGGAAGCAACCTCATTGACCTTTCTTAGGCCAGTGTTTATGCGGGACTGTACATAGTTGTATGGGGTTTGCCTACGCCCTTGGACTTGGAGCTGCTGTTTACAAGCCACCAGACGATTCCTCAGCCCCTCATTCTGCTTCTCCAGTTCGCAAACTTTTTCCTGCAGTTCCTCAATCATTTCTTCCATCTCAATGTCCCTTCCCACCCGCTTGGTGCCGCCACTCTCCAACTCAGACCTTTTTCTGTCAGTGACAAGCCTAATGAGCTTGGTGGCCATCCTAATAGAACAGGATAGGAATGTGGAAAGTCAGCAAAAGTACTTTGTGCAAAGGGACATACACACTGCTAAAGACTCTAGTGCGGAACCTGAATAATACATTTCAGATTTTGATATAACTATTACTGCCTGCAATGAGTGCTTTGAAGTTAATCAAAACCACAGAACAGCAATCTGCTTTATAACACTGACAAATAGCAGTTTCCTAAGGTTTATCATTCTAGCTGAGCTCACAAGCAACACATACTTACTCCATATGCTCTGGGAAGAACAAAAATCAAAGAAAGTTATATGTGGAGCACACCATAAGTGGCTAAGAATAGTTCTAAGCAGGGGGCGTTGGAAGAACATACAGTTTGCATCTCATACCTGCACATTGTATTTTCCTGCTGTACTTTAATACATACAGCATCAATAATGTAAAATTATTCAACCTCACTTAAACATATGGTACTATAAAGCTTAGGTGGTCTTTAATAAAACCCAACCAATATGGAAAGCATTATTAAGTATTACAATTCTATCTTTAGCTTTGCTTTACAACCTTAAATGAAACAATTGCAAAACTAGATTTGAACAAATAATGACTTTCAGACATAGTTTGTTTTTAATTCAAGACAGGCATCAGGGTTTTCATCTTTTTTTAAAAAAATGGACTCAGAATCTACTGTTGGCATATGATCAACTGTACCTTTGATTCCATGCAGTTTTGATGTATGCTGCTAACTGGGAACAAAAGTCTATCAAAGGACATATGAGGATGATGTAATATGGCATAAAGGAAAACATGCATATCAGTGAATGGAAAATATTTTGGCACTGAAAGAAAGGAAAGGTGGCTTTGATGAGTAGGACAAATTACAGACCCTCCAAAATTGGTCGCACATCTTTCATAACAAGCTGGCTTTTTGCAGTGGGTGTCATGTGCATAAAACAGTACCTTTGTTTCATTTGTTAAAAGTCGACAAATTGCTATTTCCGCATGTGGCAGGTTCTGGATATATGCAAGGCAAATTGATATACAAATGTACTTGTATAGAGAGTAGGGCAAAGCAAGTTGGATTATTTTAGTACTAAATTTGAAAATAAAAAATCATCAATGTTCAATAAGCTCATTCATTTTTAAGAAACATATTTTTCATAAATACAGACAGGAAGCTTAAAAGAATTGATATTCAGGATCAGTAATGGAAAACTTCAGTTCACCAGATTGGATGGAATTTATTTGACTTTGTTTTCAGTTTAACTGTTTGAATGCTCAACTCAGTTCATTGTTAAGCAGATTTACCCTTTAAGCAACATGAGCAAATATTATATATGTTGTAAGTGGTTACGCAAACATACAACAACCTTGTCAAACTAATAATACTGTTTGACATTCTGCATTAAAAAGGAAGTTGGTAACACACATTTCAATCAACCAGCTCGGACTTGCTAAAGGTACTTCCCAACGGTTTTTAGTCTCATATCTATTTATTGTATCCACTTGTATCTCTGCATTCCCCTTTTTGGGAGAAAAGTGCATCCATAGGCATGTTCAATACTAACAGGATCTGTATTTTTGCATTTGTGACTGATGCGGACAGGTTTTTGTCCTTCCCTCTTTGACTGAGACTCAATGCTTTGGCACTTGTCTAGTGATTCAATCAGCAGCCACACAAAACTCCCCCAAATCCTTCTAACCACAGTTGCCAACATACCTAAGATAAATTCAGAGACAAAAATGCAATTCTATTTTACACACAGGACAATAAAATTGCTTGTTTTTCACTAAATATCAGTAAATGTACTAAATATTGGTGACCCTATGCATATGCAAGGGACAAAGCAGGATTCAGAATCAGAAAGCGCCTCTTTTCAAGCTATCAACTCACTTTTCTTTACTGAATGTAGATATCCTGCCACGCCAAGCTTATTACAACCTCTCCTGCAGAAGCAGCAGCAGCAGACACAATCATTAGTTTCCAAAGTTGCTTAAATTCACAGAGATACAGCAAACTCAGGATAACTGGTCATTCTAAGGGAAAAAGGCCCACTGACAAATTATTCCATGTGATGAGTTAGCCTTGGGTCTTTTGTCTCTCGCTTGCTCAACCAGCATCAGCTCACCGCGGACACCGCATCCGAGCATGCTCGCCCAACCGCCGCCAAGCGTCTGCATCAATCACAGGATAGGGCCGGAGGCTTCTGCGATTCAGGACGCCATCTTCTAGGACAAGTTATCTGATCAATTTTACATTGTAAATGCTTACAAGAATTTCTACAATGCAACAAGCTACGTGTTAAGAGTAGTGATCTGTAAACCCGAGTTTATATGGGAAACGGTCGCGATATTGAAGGCAAGACGACTTAAGTGATCGTGTCGAGTTAAGCCAAGGTCACATCATCCAAAATTTACACTCGTTTTTGAACTGATAGGGTCTAAAATGCAGCAATTTCAAACAAGATTGTACATCACATCAATTTACAGGAATTTTGCACCAAAGGCAGAATTATGTCAAGAGTTCCAGTGAGTTCTGCATGACGTAGATATATGTATTGTAATGAAGGAATTACCACAATTTAAAGCCCAATGACTAGAATATTCCAGTTGTCACCTGATTCATCTGAACCCTGAAATGACTACTAGCCATCACTTGAATCAGATCACTGTATTATAGAAACAAAAATTATAAGGAATGAAAGAAATGCACCAAATGCAAAGTAAGCAGACCAGTAAATGCAAATGATGCTTCCACAAACAAGGATATCCATCATCCTGTATCCATCATCCATCATCATCATGGAATGCTGTAGCTCAGTGTTTAGAGCACTCGCTTTGCAAGCGAGAGACCCGGGTTCGATTCCCGGCAGGGTGAAACCTTGGGCAAGTTTCCTTACTCCACACGCCTGATAATAATCCCCCAAGAAAAAAAACTAATAATAAATAGTCGCTTCAATCCACGACTGTTTGTGGGCCACTGCTGTGCGCAATTGGCTGCCGCATTTTGCTCACAAATTTTTTTTTTGAGATGTCTAGAAGATGTGAAAAGTGCTATATCAAATGCAAGGATTAGTATTATTATTATCTGTCCAAAAGAACAGTTTATATCAGCCAAAAAGTCACCTCCTGATTTATTTGCTCATGTTGTGGTCACATTACAACAGGCGACTGAGCTGGACCAAATATAAGCAGCTCTGCAGTCCCAGTCCCCTGACGCTGTAGGCACTATAGATTCCATCCAGTTTACTTTGTGGCTGGAATCCACAACATTGGCGGCAACATGGAAACAGCTGTGCCTGCGCGAACTCCCACAAGTAGAGCTGTTTCCAAACCGTAAATTCACTGCTGTTGTGATGTGGTTAACCCGCCACTGACAGGGCCAGGTAAACTGACAATTCAAATAGTGTCATGGGAACTTTAATGCCAACCTGGAAAGATGGGGCCTCATCTCATCTGAAAGACATTACCTTCAACAATATAGTATTCCAGTGATGCACTGATGTATTAATCTAGACTATGAACTTAACTTCTAATATAGGGCTGAATTAGAGGTGAGACTGACATCAAACTGAGCCAAGCTGACACTTACCTGAATGAAATTACTGTATCTTGAAATTAAAGGTAAAATAATTGCTGATTTTTCAGCTCATGGTTGTTTTAGGAAGATTTAAACAAAATTGTGACCTCAAACAAACCATACTGCTAAATATATTTCCAACATTATTCGCAGGGCTATGGGATAAGAGCAGAGTTGAGACTCTTTCAAAGAGTGGGCACAGTCACGAAGGACAAAATGGTCTCCTTCTGTGCTGTAAGATTCTATGATACTATGATTACAAGCATTTGCAAAGATGAACTTCAGGGTGATGCAGAATTTAAACATAAGCATTAAATTCCCAAACTCCATATTTTTGTAGTTAGGATGGGATTCTCTGTAATTGCATTTTGCTACGGGGCACCTGAATCTCCTTTCAGTCTAATGCAAGACTCCTTTCCTCTTCCCATGTTATGCTCAATGTTACTCAATGGGGATCTGAGCAGAGATGCTTTCTACAATTACTCATGGTAACAATATACACCAGTAGATAACAAGAAGCATAATTTCCTTCAAATATTAAACAGAACTGGACTTCTCATATTTTAATATTACAATGAACCAAAATTGGTTACAGCTTTTAAAGATTTTTTCTTTCTTAAAGCTTAAAGCTGTAACATATATTGGAAATGACAAGTAACTAACTTTTTGAAAATATAGAATATGATGGACAAAGTGGCTAAAAAAAACAAGATGAGCTCTAAGCTTTTTTCAGCTAGCTGGTGGTAGAATGACAAACACACTCATTGAGATAAAGCGAGATTAATAGAAGTGCAGAACCTTTTAATTTTGTCTTCTTGCTTCCTTGCATGCTGTTTGAGCAAAAAGTTTTCATCGTGAAGGCGGAGAAAGCGATCCTCCAGCTCTTCGCGGCTGATGCGAGACACTGCCTGGCGCGCTCTGGCATTCTGTGCAGCAGATGATTCTGTGATTAGAGGCCGGGACAGACAGACAGAGAAAGAATCAGTTGCACACTACAATTACATTGTATTATTAGATCTTGTATTAAAGGGTAGATGATTTAGCACCAGGAGTGGGTTTCAATATGTCAAAATCACTAGCAATATGTTCCATTTGAAAGACTTCCATGACAGTTTGCATTTGTTAGTAGTGTAATCATTGACACTCTCCTGACCTCTGTAATATGGTATTGCTCTGATGATTTATTGTACATTATTGCAATTAATATTGTACAGAAAGTGGAAAGTGTAAAAAGAAGAAAGGTTTGTGCAGTCAATTAGTACAGTATTTACCAGGAAAGAGATGTATGATGGATAATTGCCACCCAGTGACATACTGCAGATTGAAGCACTCATTAACAATACATTAATGCTGCAATACACAATATTTGGGTGTTCTAAGCATGTACTGTCATGTCAAAAAAATGTTTCACAGGCTGTAGGGATAGAATATCATACTTGGAAGAGTTTGATTTGTGAGAGTAACAGCAAAATACCTCACAAGTACCTTGTGTTCTGTTCTTTGCTCGTAAATATAGCAAGTAATTACGGTTATACAGTGCTTCCACGATCTGATAGTTGTGACAGGGCTGATCATTCGCTACACCATGATTCCCTGAGAGTCAAGCAAGCCAATTAAAGGAATGTACAGAACAATTGCTTCCCAACAGAGATGGGAGAGAGATTCGAGAAGCATCAAATGGTGAGTCATCGAGGCCAGTCTCACACATCAACTGGACTCAGTGTGGCCAAGGCGTTACTAGTACATCTGACATTTTTTGTGCAATCATTTGAAATGTAATGAATGTTACATAGGCAAATATGGCAATATTTGTGCAATTTTTCGATTTGATAGGCATCATGAATCAGGTGGGGTAATTCACCAACATTTGGTGCAAGTCTATTAAATTTAAAAATATTATTATTTTAAACTTCAAATGTATTTTTCCCCCATTCATAATATTATTTTAAATTTTGATAATCCAAAATCTTCTCAAGGTAGATACTTGCATTTATTATTGTTGCTGTTTACCCTGCTATATCCTTCTAAATAAAGTCAGCCAGGGAAAAGACAGATTGCTACAGATACTTCAGGACTTCCATTACCTCTTTGTGATGGGAGTTAACAATTACCAAGGAATAACAAAAATATGGTTAATATCAACCGTCAATTTTTGAAAACATGTATACAATGTATACAACGCCTCAATGTAACATCATGAGGTCACCAAAAGAAACAAAAACAATAATACTGTTGTTTAATTACTTCAGCAGTAAATAAAAAACTTGTTTTTCAGGAGCAAGAAAGTGCTTACAAATCCACTATTGTCATCATCATCAATGAGTGTGTATATATTTGGTTTGTCAGGTGTCTGACACACACAGAAACCCATCACCATGCTTAAGAGTATTCAAACCAGACAACGTTCCACATATGTATGCCACCTATACATGGAAATCTCCCGGCATCTGAAATGAAGCACATACTCTCTCCTTGGAATGATGCACACTGCTAAATGAATTCCGGAGCTACTGTTTGGGGGCTGCAAAATGTGTGTTGGGGTGTTCTGGAATTCAAAAATTCTAAAACTCCATAGTTTGCATTGCACTACCTGGCAAACTTTCCACCTCTTGTCCAGCTAGGTCCACCCTAACCATTTACTGCATTTATTGTTGTTGTCAGATCATCCTATCCGTTAGGGCTTTGGCTTGCAAGGTAAGCAGTAGCCAAATAGGCAAAATATCTTCTCCCAGCGAGACTAGTCTCTATCACCACCCGTTTTTTAAATGAGTCATTAAACTCTTTTGCCATATTTACCTATGTAACATTCATTACATTTCAAATGCTTTTCATTTTATGAAAATTTTCAATAAGGCACCATGACAATGTTATTTTCTTCCAAAGCCTAAGTAAAAATTAAAAATCAATGAATAGAAATTTCACCTGGGGAGTATTTTAAAGAACTTATAGAAAATTGGCTTCAAAATCAAAAACTTTATTTAACAATTTGATAAATGCTCCGAAATGCTAAGTTGATAGACTAAATTGAGACCCAGGTGGAATTTTACCCACTGGACAAATGGAAAAGACTGCAATTCAAACTCTCCAAATCTTGTTGCTTGGAACAATTGACTTCACTGACAATAGAGACAAATTGGTTGAGGCCAGATACATTGAAACACGAGTGCCTTAAATAGCTTGACCAACTAAAAGGAGTTCAAGCTTCAAAGACTCATGATCAGAAACACTGAGTACCAATATTCTGATTCCATTATAGGCAACCAAACGTTCATGTGAATAATGGAACAGACCATGTCAGGATCCCATATGGAATCAGTTGAAATGAAATGTGTCCATGAAATTTTTCATGCAAAATCTCCCTAACAGAAAAGGGAAGAAAGGAAATGTAAGTTTTAAAATAGCAATCAAAAAGACTGCTGTTTATGGTAACAGGATGTTACAGAGACATGGAATCATGGAAACGAGACTAAAGCTCCACTTGTACAAGACAGGTGAAGGACCTACTATACAATCAGTACCAGCTGACATTCAATAGTGGCTTTAATCAGTAAACTCTGGCTATTTGGGTCAACAAAATCATAAAGGAAGAGATTACAAAGTAAAACTAATGGAGACATTGATCAAAGTGTGTTCTTGTAATGACTAGCAGGTGCCTCTAACCTTGCAATCCACCAATTCCAGCCAGGCACAGGCCTACATCCTTCACAGGGAGGTCTCCTGCTGTCTCATCAGCCAGGTCTGACATATTCTGTGAAAGAAAGAGGACAAATTACCCTTGAGTGTTTTTTATCCACACCTTGTACCTAACATCTTGGGATTTGATCACTACACAGATGGGGTCACCTTAGTTTTATGGCTTTCCCTTAGAAAGACTTCATGTTTTGAAGCTGAGGTTATTAAAGTAATGAAAACATTTTGTGAATACTTCAGAGTGGTGATAAAAAAAACTTAGCTTTATCCTTGTGCTGTTTAGAACCTTTCATCTGTGACTCAGATAAATTACAATACAAAGCATACAACCACTTTGTTCTGCCTATGAAATAACCAACCCCAGCTTTAAAGTCTTTACCACCTGCTCAACATCTGGGTGCTTATACTAAACTGCGATTTGTTAAATATTTCCAAATCCAGGTGTTTCATTCTTTACAAAGAGTTTTATTAGATGTTGCAGCTTCTGCAAAATCAAAAAAATCTAACCAGTTTTGCATTACATTTGGCATTTTTTGTTTTTACGGAAAAGTATGCTCAATTTAGATTAATGATGTTAAGGGTCTTCACTGAAGCTAATTTATTAGATATATTAACAAAATAGCACTGATGGGTGATTGGCACTGATTAGCACTTTTAGTGCCAATCAGATTTATTGAAGATCACAACTAAAACATTTTTCAAATTTCTGATATGTTCTGCATCAAATTTTCCAAACACACAATAAATGTGGAATGGACCCAGAGAGGAAAGGACACTTCAATAGCTTTAACAGAGTGGAACATACTTGTGGAAAATGGAAAAAGTTAGGATATTTCAGAACCAAACAGCAGTTTACAAAGACCAACAAATGATAAAAGGCAATAATCTCATCAAGAGTAGCCATTGTTGAGGATGCGATTGAGTGGGATTTCCAGTCTTCATTTCCCATCCTCTGCAGATGGACTTTGATTCATGCTAGTGAATGTCTGCATGGGATATCTCTCCCATGTGGTCATTTTTCAGCGAGATAGTGAACATTGGCAAACATTGCAGATGATGCTGCTTTTACCTGGCAATGAGACATGTTCATACCTCTTGTAGATATCACTGGATAGTGATCAGAAATGGGTACTTAAGTGGCTTTGATTCCCCTCCCAAGGCAGGCTAAAATCAGCTAAGTCAACAGGAATTGATCCTTGATATTGCTGGGTCAGAACAGCTATATACTGCATTCACCTCAATCACTGGACTAACTACAAGAAATGAATCCCAAAAATCTATAAGACAGTAATGCAACTACTTGGCTGGTTAATATCTCCACAAATGTCAACATATTTCAAAATGAAACTGATGTAACTTTCAATCTGCAGCACTTGCTTTTAAACAGGAAATGTCAGCAAGCTTTTAAAAAGTTAAAAGGTAGATTGTTAAATTGACATCTATTTAATTCACATATACAGTACTCCTGAATCTTAAGGTTCTAGAGATGAAGTACTAATACAATATCCTGGAATCCTGTAGCTCAGTGGTTATAGCACGCGCCTCACAAGTGAGAGACCTGGGTCCGAATCTCAGCAGGGCAAAACCTTGGACAAGTTTCCTTACTCGACATGCCTGATAATAATCCTTCAAGAGAAAAAAACAGTAATAAATTGGTCACTTCAATCCGCTACTGTTTGTAGGACACTGCTGTGTGCAATTGGCTGCAGGGTTTCGCCCACAAATATACAGTCAATTCACTTTACAGTATATTCTGTGAAGCGCTTTCAGAAGTCTAGAAGACATGAAAAGTGCTATATCAAATGCAAGGATTATTTATTTATATTAATGTATACCAAAAGCTGAATCATATTGTTAAACGGAGTGGGTCTTTTTAAACAGAATGTATCAGAGAGGAAACTGATACCGAAACAGATTTAAAACTTGAGTAATTAATATTTCAGAACCAAACAGCACAGTTTACAAAGATTCTTCTAATTTTGTATCAATAAAGTTTCCATTGAGCTCTATTGGAAAGGTAACATTGAAGTGCAACTTATTACAATATTTGTAAAGTACATCTTTTTATTATATCAAAGTGGGAATGACAAGTCTAAGAAGCAATACTTTCTAGTTTGGCTTTGCAGACCACTACCACTCCTATCTGAAACTAATAATTAGTACTCGTTTTTCAAACAAAGTGCTTCTTATTTTGTTAAAAAAAATAAGATTACATTGTATTTTCATTCCTCTGGAACCCTACCACAAAGTGAAGTATCAGACACAATGGAGTTTCTATCAAGATTCCTACTGCATCTCCATGAATAAATAAATTGAGTTGCAACTGGGAGGGAGCATGGAGTCTACTCAATTCATTCAAATTCAAAAGGTTGTCTATAGGGTGTAGAAGGAAAGATCAGTCCTGATAACTAGAAGGAAAGGTTGGCCTTATTGGAACTCCACTCAAAACAAAACTTTTCAGTAATCATACGCTTACCATATAATCAGATGTCATCAGTTTTAATAACCAACACTAAAACCAATTTAATAAATTGCTGAACAAATAATTTTGTTTGAAATTCATTTATATGTTATTCTCCTTGGTTTACTTAAATTACCAAAAACCTGTCAACCTCGGTCAATGGCCACATTGTCTCAATGAAATCAGAATGCCATTCTGAAGCGGCTACAAATGGTTTGTAAGAGCAGTATTGGTTGACTTAGCTGTGTTTTGGGAGCATTCCTATCTGCTATCTTTTCAGGTCAATTTTAACTTTATGAACTCACTAGACAGGGAGAAAACCCACATCTGTAGAAGAGCAATTCAGTGCATTGCTGGACTGCTAAACATATCACCAGCGGGTAATTAGAATATAGTATTAAGCACAGCCGTCGTTTCCCCTATTATAATCATTGATAGCTTGAAAACTATATACATTATGAAATTATTATAGCAAAATACACAAATATATACAGATTCATATTACTATTTTTATATATAATAATTTGACAATGGATTTCCAGTTTTATTGATATCGCCTTTAATGTCCTCCATGAACTTGCTCCTTCCTACCTCTGTGACCTGCTAACCCCATATTGACCTGTCCGCTCCCTCCGCTCAGCAGGCTCCTGCCTGATCCATGTCCCCTGCCCAGCCCGCCCCATCATTGGAGGTCGGGCCTTCAGCCTCTCTGCTCCTAGCCTTTGGAACTCCATCCCACGTCCCTTCGCCTTGCTCCCTCCCTTGCCTCCTTCAAGGCACGTCTCAAGCCTCTCCTCTTTGACCTTGCCTTCGGTCACCGTCCTACCGCGACCATCCCTACCCTCCATCCCTCCTGATCCCAACCCCCTGCTCGGGTCCAAATCCCTGATTGTCCAGTGCCTTGGGACATTCTCCGACATGAAAGCACTATACAAATGTAATTTGTTGTTGATGTTTTAAAAATCTACCAGGGCTACTAAATCCTAGACTCAATCATACCAATAGCAATCAACTGAACAATGAGATTAAATGGCTCTTTTGCAATTAATGCCATAGATTTTTTTTTCTCCCCGTTCCTGAGGGCAGGGACTGTTTTCTCATACTTATTCCAAGGAGACATTCTTCACTCCTGTTTGAAGACAGGAAGTGTTGAAGAAGACACAACAACATTATAAATTTATGAACTAAATCCTGTTCTCATCAAAGGTCACATACCCATCTACTGCAGCACAGATCAGTGATTACTGTGTGTCAAGAGCAAGTCTGTTTTACCTATGGTGTTAGCCCAGCAATACTAAAACAAATTTTTCCATCCTATGTTGTTAAGTGATCTTACCAAGTGTTGCATTTTTAGTACTGTATACTCTGTAGAACAATTTCGGTTTCTATGTAGTTTACAAGCAATGGGTTTTATTTTATGGGAGACAGGGACGTCAAGGATTATGTGTTAATTTATGTGTTAAATTCACATTTTTTTTGTTGGAAATTTAATGATTCTAGTGCATTTGTTGTTGGCTAATTAATTCAGTTTGATTCACAGATGAAAAACGTTGCATAACGTGCACCACTTTGTGTAGCTTTGCAGTCTGAAAAACTTGGATTGATGGTCCAACCCGATTGATGATAGAAATTCGCATCACCATAATAATAGTGGAGTCCTGTAGCTCAGTGGTTAGAGCACCCGCCTTGCCAATAGGAGATCTGGGTTTGATTCCCGGCAGGGCAAAACCTTGGGCAAGTTTCCTTACTCCACACGCCTAATAATAATCCCTCAAGAAAAAACAAAATTCGGTCACTCAATCCACGACTGTTTGTGGGACCACTGCTGTGCGAAATTGGCTGCTGCGTTTCACCCACAAATATACAGCCAATTCACTTTGCAGTATATTCTGTGAAGCGCTTTGAGACGTCGAGAAGACGTGAAAAGCACTACATCAAATGCAAGGATCATTATTATTATTATAACAACTCGCATTTATACAGTACCCCTCACGCAGGGTAACATCCCAGCGCGCTTGACAGTGGCGGAGCACGATGCCGAGCAGAGGGGAGGGTAAGTTGACTTAATTTCGAATAGTAAGGTCTTCAGGCCCGACCTCAAGATGTGGAAGGAAGGGGAACAAGGCGGAGGGATGGAGGAAGAGTGTTCCAGAGTTTCGGGGGGGGGGGGGGGGTAGTGGCTGAAAGCGCGGCCACCGATGGTAGAACGGAGGGGGCGCGGGGGGACATGCAGAGAAGCCGGTGCCAATCGAGTGGAGGCAGCGGTTTGTGGGTTGGGGGCTAAAGTGAGCAGGTGGGAGAGGCAGGGAGGAGGTGCCGGGGGCCATGAAGGGATTTGAAAACCAGTGCGAGGAGCTTGAAGTCAATCCTGTCCAACACACTTGCCGTTGAAGACCTCAAGTTAACATGGTTACTCACAGTATTGCTTAGCGGTGAGGCTAACAGGGCAGACACGACAGGCCGAGCCGCCTTAGCCGGGCCTGGCCTGGACAGTCCACGGTTAGTCAGTTACGTTGGCTCATCCCCGATTCATTTACCCCAACGACAGTTGCTACCCAAAACGGTTGACATCCGGTCCCTTCCGGACAACGAGCAGGAGCGCAGCGCATCTTGGGGGAGGTTGTAGTCCCTCGGCTGACGCTTCGCTGCCGTCGCGGAGACACACACACACACACCCCGTGAACTACAATTCCCAGAAGCCTCCCGGGTAGCGGACTGCGTCACTTCCTCCATTCCCTCCCCTCCCGTCCCTCATTGGCAGTTGGTCGTTTGAGAAGAAAGAAGAAGAAGAAGAAAAAAAAGAGTCGCGTTGTTGTTGTTCTCCTTCTGTTTTCCATCACAAAAGGTCGGCGTTTAACGCGAATTAAGTTCACTTTAAAAGCGCCACACCCTTCCCTCCCCCCCCCCCAAAAAAAAACACGCTGTATTTTTCATTCGTTCCTGGGAACGAGCGGCGGTCGTTAGGAGGTGATTTTTTTAAAAAAATTATAAAAAAAATACAAAAAAATCTTAACAGGTTTACTTGTGTTGTTTGCGGGGGAGAGGGAGGGGGAGAGGGCGAGGAGAGTGGGGGGGGGGGGGAAGCTTTAAGTCGCAATGGATGTTGGGATGACAATGGCGCCACTTTAAACCGAGGAGAAGCAGAGAAGTAGGACAGAAGGCCGGGGATGAAAAGGTTCAATAAATACGATAGAGCGAAGGAGATAAAGGTACATGGCTCCGCTCCTTATACACCTACACACACACACACCTGCCTCAATTCAACCTGGCTCGTGTTTTAGTCTCTCCCCCCCCGCCCCACCCCTCACACTCGTCTGTCTCAGTGTCGTTAAGAGCCAGAAGCCTGGGCCTAAACTGACTACCGTAGCGCCCACTGCAATCCTCCACACACACCACCCCCCCCCCCCCTCCCAACGCGGCTACAGCGCTTCGTTTTTAAGGGGTATCATTTCAAGCACTTGAGCGAGTTTAGTCATTGCACGTCTGGCACAGGGGCACAGGCATGTTGCTTTGCTTAGCTCTGCCAACGTGGGTTGGGGGGTGGGGGGAGAAAAGAAAGGTGAAGAGTGCTGTTGGTGAGCAGCAAATTCATTTCATTCTACAGTTGGTTGGATAAGGGGTACATCACCAACGTGATTCAGAATGGATATTACTTTCCATTGATCACGGCTGTTTCTAATAATAATAATCCTTGCATTAGATATATCTCATCTTTGAGATGCCGCAAAGTGTTTCACAGAATATACTGTAAAGTGAATTGACGGTATATTTTGTGGGCAAAATGTCCTATTAGCTGTTTAATGAACGAATAAAAGACAGGTTTTGCATGGTAACCAAATAGACTTCTTGTTAAGGGTCTGTGACATCTTGGTGGAAATAGAGTACTATATGTCTTCTCAAACAACAACTTGCATTTATGTAACTGTTTCATGTGGGTTGTTTCTCGGGGGAACTGAATAAAACAGATAACTCATTACAGGAAACTATCTTAAATGGTCTAATTTTACACATTCTTGTGTAACATTTTTTGTAATATCACAATAAATCTACCAAAAATATACAACAACAACAAAGTTACATTTGTATAGCGCCTTTCACATCAAGGCGCTGGACAGACAGAGTTACAGACCCGAGCTGAGGGTTGGGGTGGTGGGGGGAAGCAGGGAGATCAAAAGCACGGTCGAAGAGGAGGGCCTTGAGGTGGGTCTTGAAGGTGGCGAGGGAGGGGGCGAGACGGAAGGACTGCGGGATGGAGTTCCAACGGGTGGGTGCAGAGTGGTGGAAGGTCTGCCAGCCGATAGTGGGGCGAGTAAGGCGGGGGACGTGAAGCAGGCTGGAGCCCGCTGAGCGGAGGGAGCGAGCAGGGTTAGTAGGGGATTAGGAGGTCGGAGAGGTAGGGGGAGCAAGACTGGAGGGCTTTGAAGGTGAGGACCAGGATCTTGTGGAGTTAGGCAAGGAAGGGCGTGATAGATAGTTGAAGGTCAAACAAGACCCCAAGGTTCCGGACTGGCTTAGCAAAGTGCAACCATGGATGGTGATGCTGTCAGCGCTTGAGGTGAAGAAGCGCTGTCGGGAGCCAATCAGGAGAGCCTCGGTCTTGTTAACGTTCAACTGAAGAAAGTTAGCTCTCATCCAGGACTTGATGTCTGCCAGACCTTCTGTCAGCACAGCAGTGGTCCTGGAGTCAAGGGTTGAGGCAGAGAGGTAGAGTTGGTGTCATTCGCATACATGTGGAAGTTTCCCATGTCTGCGAATGATGTCACCAAGAGGGAGCATATAGATATTGAAAAGGAGGGGACCAAGGTTGGAGCACTGAGGGACGCCGCACGAGACGATTCGGGGGCTAGAGGAGAAGCCGATTGAGGAGATGAAATGCAGGCGGTGTGAGAGATACGATCTGAACCAGTCAAGGACAGCGCTGTGGAGGTTGAGGTGAGAGGAGAGATGGTGGATGAAGATAAAGTGGTCGACGGTGTTGAAAGCAGCAGAGAGGTCAAGGAGGACGAGGAGGCAGAGGGAGCCCCGGTCGCAGATGGACAGAATGTAATTTGTCACTTTGACCAGGGCAATTTCTGTGCTGTGGGCAGCACGGAAGCCAATTGGAGGGGTTCCAGAAGGGAGTGGGGGAGCAACTTATTAATAATAATAATAATCCTTGTATTTAGCATAGCACCTTTCGTGTCATGAGGATGTTTCAAAGCGTTTCACAAGATATACCGTAAAGTGCAGTGACTGTTTTGAGGGTGAACATGACAGCCAATTTGCGTGCAATTTGCATTTATATAGTACCTTTCATGTAGGTTAGTGACTTGCAGCACTTATATAGAAAGTTGTGTGATCCGAGTACTTGTGATCCTGAAATAACAAATACTTGTGTTTGTATAGTGCGCTTCATGCGTAGTAGTGCATTGGAGCGCTTTGTGCATTAGTTTGGGAGACAAAAGCATTCTAACTAGGGTTGACTGCACTCCTGTTAACTATTTCAGGAATAAATTGGAAAAACAATTTATTCTATTGCAAAATAATATTATTAATAATAATAATGAATATTGGTTTCGCTGGTGACAGTTTACATAAATGCCGTATTTAAAGAAAGTTGTGAATACTTTCACCTGACTGACACAACAGATTTTTTAAAAAATGTTCAATGATGACATCCATCAGAGCTAAATGCTGTTTGATTGAAAGTGATTGGGATCTTAAGGAAAAAAGACAAAGTATTGAAATCTAAAAGTTGACAAAAAGGATCAGCTTATAATTAAACGTAGGCAGTGAAATTAAATGTCAATGTCAAAGACGAAGCAGGTTGCTTGTAATTTATTAGAAATATTTTTTAAATGTTTTGATAGAGTTGGGGTGGAATACTCTGAACTGAAAACACTTCTCTGTACTTCTTTTAATGGATTTGGGCAGACAATAGTGGGTAAATTGGCCACAAAATACACAGTCAAACTGTTTTACAATATTCTGTGAAGTGCTTTGAGATGTTGTGATAAGGCACTATATCAAATGCAACAATTATTTAATCTTATTAATCATCTTACAAGATTTTCTTGCTGAATTTTATTTTTTTGTCAATTCATTTTGGATGAAAAAGTGATAAGGTACATATATTTTCATCTCTGAAAGCTATTTTCCATTATATACCATGAAAGCAGACCATTATAATTTGAATTGAGCTTGCAAGGCTAGTGTTCTAACTACAATAGACTACAGGACTCTAGTTTTGCGCAGCTGGAAGTTATTCGCTAATCATTTTTGAAGAAAAATACATTGCATGATACTTTACAAATGGCACAAACAACTTCTTTTCATAAATCAATCATCAAATTGTGGTGTTTTATTAAACCAGGTGTTTATTTTTATCTGAAAGTGGTATCTATTTTTATCCTCTGCAGAAATCCCATGTCTAGTTACAGCTTGATGTCAATCATAACGCCTCTGTAAGGATGCCACACTTTGTGCTTTCCTACTGACTAAACATGTGGCTGAGCTGAATTGGGATGTCCATTTCAAATGCAGTGATATTTAAAAATTTAATCTTAATTCAGTACCTTTTCGTTGTAAAATTTTGGCAGAAAGAAAGTTGTTCCATTCATATCATCAACTCAAGTATTTTATGTAACCATTTCAGATCAAATGTACGAGACTTAAATGGAAAACTTCATCTTCTATAATTGTAAAGTACAATGTGCAGCTTTGCTAAAATATGTAGTTACTGAATACTTGAACCACCCTTCCCCATAAACATTAAACCTAAACTTAAATCCACTAAATCACTACATTCAATTCTGTGGGTATGAGGGTTATAGTGACTTTGTTACCATAACACAATCCATGTTTCAAAGATTAATATTATTGTTTGACATTACCCTGGCATGGACTCATTGCAGAATGTTGGAGGAAGTGGAGTTTTAAGGTTTCCACAGAACAGTTCTGTAAAATTCAGAATCTAAAGGTTTTGGCTCTTCCAATAACTGCAAGAGCAGGGAATAGCTGAGCCACATGAATCAGGAAGGTCTCTGGTTTGATCTCTGGTTCAAGCTTGAGTGTTTAACCTCTGTACTACAAGCATGTTAAACCATTGTTTAATGACCTACAGTAAATAATTTTATATCAAGTGGCAGGGTTGCTAATGGTCCTGCTCTGCAAACAAATATTCAACTCTGGTCTCTTTCAAATCAAACTTCACATGTTTTTTGTAATAAAGCACCTGGTTTGCTCAGGGTTTTTGGCAAGCTGACCAGTCACATCTGTTACAGATCTGTTTCAGGATATGAATTATGAATTGAGACAACAGGTACCAGGTAGTGCATGTTTTACAGCAAAATGTTCTTAAAATGTTGGAACTACTTCTCCCAATTGTACATGTGTTTGGAAAATGTAAGACAGCAGCAAAATTTGTCTACCTGGTTTTCCACATAGCCTGATGCAGAAGGGAGGCTCTAGGGAGGGCTGGCCTGCTTCCAAATATTTCTTCACCAGAACTACTAGCTACTTTAACCTCAGCAGAGGAGCACTCATACATTATTCTTTGGGATGAAAGTGGTTTGAGATACACTATTTTAATTTACAGTTCACTCTCTAAACTCTGATGAGGGAAACAGAATGTTGCGAGTGCAAAGTATGATTATCAATAAGTATCAAAGTATCGATAAGCACGCACTGTAGTTCATTTTTTTCTCCTGTTGCAGGTTGCTTGTACTCTGGAGGCTTCATATTTGCCATTTGTATTGCTCTGTGATCAGCCATTAGGAGTTAATATCTTCTTCCCTTCTGTCACTCCTATAAAGTTCTGCGTTCTACCAAGAACTGATGAAGCTTAGCCAATCGTGTTTGAGTGATAGGCATGGTAGTCTAAGGTAGCTTTAAACTTCCAACCCTCTGACCCCCATGTTTGTAAATCAACATCTTCAGTTGGAAGAGGAACCCAAGTTGTGACCTGGTATAAACAGCACTCTTAACACTGTTGAAACATCAGTTGAAATAAAAGCTCTGTTTCCTGTTAGGATATCGCAGAAGCCATCCCACTCCCACTCACTAATCCACTGGAATATGGTTAAATCTGAGCAATGTGTTTCAGAGGGGAATTAAAGGAACACCAGCCCCCCCCCACAAGAAAATTTAACTGTTCCGCTAAGTCCTATTAAAGAAGAGGAGAATGAACGATAGCATAGGGCTCGGAACACAGTATAAATCCTTTCAGAAT